CCAATCACCTGAGAGATGCATCACTTGGCGCCTTCCAACGTCCGCGCCAGCAGGGAGACAGAGTCAGGAGGTGGAGCCAGGAATGAAACCCAGGTACTCTGCTGTGGGACATGCACATCCTAACTGCTAAGCTAATGACATTTCCCTCCCGCCTGTTCTGAAAGAGCTCCAGGGCGGGCTTGACTACCCTCTGGTGGTGACTTGGAGCATGCTGGAGAAGGGGCCAGTTCACCGACCCTGCTTGTTCTAGCACATCCTGGAAAAAGCAGCCAAGAATCTGCAGACTCCCCCACAGGCCACAGCAGAGCTCGAAGCACTGGGAGGCCAGAGCGGCCGGGGGATTTAATGCAACAGAATGCAGGATGGCTTCTGGGCGACAGCCACAGCCAGGGCCCCCAGACGTCAACAGCACATGCTGTCAGAGTCTCCAAGAATGTGAGACGGGACCGGCTGTATGTCAAGACATCCGCAGCCCCACACCGAGACCAACGGGAATCCACGGGGGAGAAGAACGAGGGCACCCACCCCTACGGCTGGGCTGAAACACCGGCTTCTACCCTGATGCAGATGGGATGGAAGGCCCAGGAGGAAAGAGAAATAGCCTTCAGTGAAGTGGGTGTTGAGCCGACTCCCCCAAAACACACAGTCAGCTCGAGACTGGCTAATAGCAATGCCAATTAAAAGGTGCCTCAATGGAAACAGAGATATCAAAATTGAACTGGCTTTGAAACTGCAATTATATATATATATATATATATATATATATATATATATATATATATCTCCTCCAATTAAACAGACTATCTAAAGACCCTGTTGGGGGGGGGGGCTGGCGCTGTGGTACAGTGGGTAAAGCCGCCGCCTGCAGTGTCGGCATCCCATATGGGCGCTGGTTTGTGTCCCCGCTGCTCCACTTCAATCCAGCTCTCTTCTATGGCCTGGGGAAGTGGAAGATGGCCCAAGCCTTTAGGCCTCCATACCCATGTGGGAGACCCAGAAGAAGCTCCTGGCTTCAGATTGGTACAGCTCCAGCTGTTGCAGGCATCTGGGAAGTGACCCAGCAGATGGAAGACCTCTCGCTCTATCTCTGCCTCTCCTTCTCTCTCTCTGTAACTCCAATTTTCAAATAAATAAATCTTAAAAAAAAAAAAAAAGGCCCTGTGGGAATCTTCAGCGTACTACGATTACCAAATAAAATCTGATAATATGAGGGTGGGTGTGTCAACAAGTTCATGGACAAACGGAATGATAACGTAAGTGTATTTTGGTGTGAAAAATGTTGAAACACGGAATTTTCCCTAACACGCATTTCCCATGAGCTTTTTGGAGACCCCACGTGTGATTTCCTCAGCAAGGGGCTGAATCACTGAAATTCAACCCCAGGGTGCTAAGGCAGAGATTCTAGGTACTCACCGACACCTTGCCTTCCTGTGCTCACAGCCGGACCGCATTTCTCTCTCCTTCACAATGCAGCGGTCCCACGGCTGAGGACGGAGTGTCACTTGTGAGGAGGGAGGTGGCTGAGCCTGGATGGCTGCGTGATGCCCCCCTCGTGAAGAACGGCCCTCATCAACCAGAAACTCTCACTCCCGGGGAGTGCAAGGTAAGCCTTCCTGTGTTTGGATGGGGCATGTTCAGGTCCATCAGCTGCAGGGGTGAACGGTGCCCCCGTCTGCTCTGTCACACAACCACCCAGTGCTATTTCAACTGGGCAATCACTGACCACTTAACTATTTGCACACAGAGGTTCTAAGTTCTCACAAGAAATAGATCCAGCCTACCGAGGAGTCAGGAAATCAGGCAGGCTGGCAACTACCAAGAACATCAGGCAACTGGATCTGAGCCGTGACAGAGGGTGAGCACTGCGCAGAGTGCGATGATTAGCATTGATCTGTGAAGGCGCCACAGAGGAGGTGGCAACTGACTCGGGCTTCCAGGGTGACGAAGTTCAAAAGAAAGCGTAGGGTAGGGAGGTTCATCCCGGGCTGAACGCGAGTCAAACATTGTACCCGTGGCGCTGGGATGCTCAGGGCAAGAAGCAATATTGATCCACCCCAGGAAACAGTCCGGCCGGCAAGCAGTAGCCACAGGGCAAGAAGACTGTGTTCAAAGGGAGGAAGAACTGACAATCAGGACTGGCCATGAACAGACAAAAAGATCGTGTGTTTCCTTTTAGGGGTGGCCAGCTTCTTGGCAGGGGCCTGCAGAGAATGTGATTTAAGTGCAGGATGGGCAGGGCTGCATTGGGCTGCCTTCCAACTCTGGGATTCTATGGATCTTCGACGCCTCTGCCAAGCAGGCTTTTTGCAACACTGCCAGCAAACAGAAGAATTATTTCAGCCCTGTTACAGCATTTCTTACATGGCAGTGCTGGCCACACTCCCTTCGGAGGCTGGCTTCACTCAGTGCGCTCAGTCTTCTAGAAGCTGGGAGAGGACATCTGTTCATATCTGGGGCCGTGAGAACCCCTCAGATGCCACCCTACTGTCAACAAAGCCCCCAAGTAGGCTGGCATTAAACAAGGATCACGGTTAGAGAACAAGGAAACAAGTGGCAATAAGTGCCTACTGGGAAAGCGCAGGCCAAGGACCACTCTGCGTCAGCTGCATGTCCCAGTTCAATACCAAATATGGTCATGGAGTTTTCAGAAAGATGAGACTCCACAGACATGCATTTCAACAAAGCTGCCCTGACAACAGTGTTGTCCTGGTGGAGGACTGAGTGTGTTAGCAGACACCTTAGAGTTGAAATTACAAACATTACCTTTCTACAGTGTACTTTCATAAAACAAACTGGTTTTCCATTGCCAAGCATGCATGCTACAGATAAAAAGAAGTCTCGTAGACACACTAAGGGGAGAGACGCTGTCCTAACACTCGGTGAGCAGGTCCTCACTTCCCACTTGCAAAATTATGCTTCCAGTTTCTCAGAGCCCCAGTGAGCATCTTCCATATGTGAGGCACTAGGCTAGTCGCTGGTGATACAAACTGAACCAAAGAGAAAAACATCGAGTGCCTTCAACTTGAAAGCTTCCTGAGATTCATCATGCTGGGGCTGGCATTGTGGTATAACGGGTGAAGCTGCTGCCCGCAGTGCCAGCATCCCATATGGGCGCTGGTTCAAATCCTGGGTGCTCAGCTTCCTACCCAGCTCTTTGCTAATGCACCCGGGAAAGCAGAGGAGGGAGGCCGCAGCCCCTGCCACCCACACGGGAAATCTGGATGAAGCTCTTGACTCTTGGCTTTGGCCTGGCTCAGCCCTGGCCGTTGGGGCCATTTTGAGAGTGACCCAACAGACAGAGGATCTCTCTCTCCCTTTCTCCCTCTCCCTCTCTCTCTATGTAACTCCACCTTTCAAATAAATAAGTCTTTTTCTTAAAAGATTCTCAATGGTATTTTTATTAAGAACATTCTCAATGATTACACAAAAAAGAAGAAGATACGTTCAGCTACATTCTTGTTCAATAAACAGGGTTTGGAGATTACACATATCAAAAGATTGGCTTTAAACTATTGGCCTGGATTATGGTTGTTTCACCTCTGGTAATAACACTGCAGGTTCTTAATTTATTGCTTAAATAAAAGACAAAGGGAACAGAAATTTCCCAAGCTCAGAGAAGAATATGAAAAATCTTAAAAAAAAAAACACTCTTCACATTATTCACAGGACTACAACCTCCATAGTACAACAAAGGGAATTTTTACAGCTACACTCTGAGGACACTGGAACGTGTGACTGGGCATGACAGCCATAGGAAACTTAGGTTTTATATGCACTTCTCCAGCCATAAATATGAGGGATGCTTTGTCAGTCTCTCTCTTGTTTCAGCATCCCAGGGACTTCAATCTTTCTGAAATTCAAGTCACATCTCTCTCATCACATAACACCATCCTGAGTGGCACCAGGACAACCAAGTTCAAAATCCTTCCGACTGCCTTTCCAGTTAACCACCTCCTTCAACCTGGGCCCTCAAATCCACAAGGCACAAAGCTCGCGGACCGCTCTATCTGATGAAAGGAACAGCTCTCGACACCACCAGCTTCTGTTTTGCGCGATTTTTATCCAACGCCACTTCCCATTTCCAGCATGCAGTTTCTGGAGTGCGTGTCCCAGGCTGTTCTGCCCATGTGGGTACTGAGTCCGCTCCCAACAATGGAAAGCAGAGCTACACCTACAAATGACAGATCCACACTGGCCCCGACAGTCCCACACCAGGACCACCATGAGCAGCCTGCTTTCCAAGGAAGATAACAAGACTTCAACCCGCAGTCAAAACAAGAAGTCGCTATTTCTGAAGGGAAAAGGAAGACAAGACAGACAAGCTCCAGAACAGCATTTCCGACCATGAAGCACCTGCGTCCCAGGCTCCAGTCTGCCTGCCAAGGACAGGAGTTCCAAGCCGAAGTCCAGCACCCGCCTGTGTCAGCACCCATGGGTTCCGCCCGTTCTGCCCAGTTGGGCCTCCCAGCTAGTCCCCCAACTTCCCTGCACCTCCATCTCTTTCATCAAACCTACAGAAAACCAAGGGCAGATTCCTGCTGTAAATGGGCCACGGGTCTACGAGGTAACAACGCAGCTCCCGCACACTGCCGCTGATCCTTGAATTTTCTCCGCAGCCCTCGCAGAAACCCGGATCGAAGACCATGAAACGAGGGGGTACAATTACAAAGACCTCGGAGGTCCCCTTGCACATTTGTGAGTCTCATTCTGAGAGTGAGGCGTGACCAGGCTATTGGTCGTAAAACGCTAGCGGGTCTCCGAGCTCTAATAATCTGTGCTGCCCTTGGCCAATTCCGCTCCAGCAAAAAGTGCTTCAAAATATTTGCTCCAAGCTCTGCCTTCAGTTATGCAATGCTTCCAACATGCCTCCAGCATGACGCTCTCTTCCACGTCCACGAGCCCCTTCCCTTTCTAGACAATTCCAGCACAAGGCTGCTGACGCGACCAAGCCAGCACCAACACTCCACCTTTCAAGGGGAGCTTAAGAAAGCCACACCTACCCTGAGCCACTGCTTCTCCGTGAGGGCGTCACTGTAGTCCACGTCGCGGCGCTGCCGGGACCCCCTACCAAATATCTTCTCCTCCTCCTCTTCGCATGTAAGCCTCTCCACCTCGGCATCATCCTTGATAATCCAGGAGGGCAGCTCATCTTCCTCCATCAAGCGGGGCTTGCGCTTGGGATTCCTCGCGTCCTCCCTCCGCCGGTCCATGTCCATGCGCTGGGGACAGTAAGCAGAGTGTCACCAACGGGAAGGGGACCTTGCACGGCAATACAGACTTTCTAGGACACACATGGGGTCTTCAAAAAGTTCATGGAAAATGCATAATTTGAAGAACTATGCAGAAGTTTCGAAAAATGTTTTTTGGCACCAACATTACCCAATCCTTTAATTCCATTTCACATGAACTTTTTAAATTCCCCTTGTACAACTTTCATAAGTCATTGTGTATGGCTGAATGGTGCCTCTTGGTCTGCCTCATCCTAGCTGACTTGTTCTAGCTCATCCCTAAAGTACGGTGCCAGTGGAAGGATCCTACCAAGTAAAATCCCCTCCCATCCTCTGTACCCATCTGGGAAATGCATTTATGCACTGCAACAGATACTCTTTCAGAATTGCTTTTCTTGGTCTATGTGGGTGTAAAGCAAGCTTCCCCTTAAGTAATGGTGAAAAAGTTCAAATTGGGTCTGCATTTAATAAATATGACCCTTAGGCATACAGCTTGTTGCTTCCCTGGAATGAATATTATATATGGAGCATACAAAGTAGGAAGTGCATTAAGAAAATTTCCTCTTAGGGGGCTGGTGTTCTGGCATGTAGCTAGTTTAAAGTCTTGGCCTACAATGCTGACATCCCGAATGGGTGCCAGTTTGTGTCCCAGCTGCCCCACTTCTGATCCAGTTCCCTGCTAACAGCTTGGGAAGAGCAGCAGAAGATGGTCCAAGTGTTTGGGCCCCTACCACCCATGTGGGAGACCCGGGTGAAGCTCACAGCTTCAGCCTGGCCCAGCGCTGTCCACTGCAGCCATGTGGAGAGTGATCCAGCAGACAGATCTCTTTCTCTCTCTCCTCCTCTCTCTGTCTCTCCGTCTCTATCTATCCCTCTCTGTACTTTTGAGTTTCAAAATAAGTCTTTTGAAAAAACCAAAAATTTCCTTTTATTAATAGGCCTTGTACTGTTAATAACCTGAAAAAAAGAAAAAAAAAACAGCAACAGTCACTACAGAAGAGACACACAGCTGGACACATAGACAGGATGTACAGTTTGAGTAGCCAACTGCCATGAATGCACTCAATTTTTTCTTGCACCATGGGCACCATGAGAGGAACACTCTGAAATGCTTTTGTCTTTTAAGCAGGTCGCTCTTAGGAACATATTATGCCACGGAGAGTCAGCACTCAGAGAAAACCTTCCTTGACTGACTGAGCTGTAAGTGAAAAGGCTTCCTATCACCACCTTCAAAATGCCCACGTCCCCACCTCCTGCTCTCTGCAAATCAACCAGGCCTCACACACTTGGCTTTGAGCCCTAACTCAACAATCTGATTGCCAGATTACAAAGAAAACAAAGAGCACCATCACCAAATTGTTGTCTGCCTTAGCTATAAATGTATAACCATACCTATGACTAGCTACAAGCACCATTTCCACAATCAAATAGATCATTAGTCATTAGATTATTTACCTTGTCCCTCTTCCTTTGGTTCTACTGTAATGAAGCAGGGATTCAATATAATTTTTCAAGCTACGATTAATAAAATGTAAGCAAAATATTTACTGTGTATATCTGGACAGGACCTCTAGGATCTATTTATAAATAAGAGGTCAATGGCCCTTACTATACTTCCAGATTTGGGGGGCTCATTACATTTCCCGGATGGAACAGGCATGGGCACAGTGCAGTCCCATTGGTAGATAAATGTGGCCATCCTGATCTGTCATGTGCTATAGTTAGCTTGCAATGCTCTGCTTAATCCTACCTTCTAATGCTTTGGTATCAGAAATGGGATCTACAGAACCTTCAGTGAGCACACAGAGGATGTCCTGTTTTCAGCAGGGCAGAGGGGCTTCATGGAGCAACCCACATATGCAGAAGTACTTCAAAATGCCCACAGAAAACAGAATTGGAAGATGAATTTTCTTTCAGATGAAAACAAAACACTGAAACCCATGCATACAAAGAGTCTTAAACTTATTGAAAAAGCAGTATGAAAAAACTCCATATGGATTTCAAATTTTTTTTGCACCAAAACAAGATTATCTTTTAATTTCATCTTTCCAACAAAGGTTTTGAAGTCCCCCCTGTAGTTATTAGGTAGCTAATAAGAGAAAACGTTTATTGTTAACATCTTTCACTGAGATCCTAAAACACAGCCACTTCATAACGCAGAGCACTGATACTATAGTTACCTACGCTAACGCCTGCGTAACATCACCCCCACCACGCATCTGTCCACTACTGAGCGGGTACATCATTTTTGAAATAAAAGCAATTATGGGTTTTGTCGTGCTTTAGAAAAAGGGAGATGCAATTAAATAAGCTTAGCGTCCTAATGACTGCTCATCTCTGCCCACAGACTTTCCCCCTGCAGAATACCTGTACAGAACCCGCAGTCCACACTCAAGACGAACTCCAGCTTGGTATGCATTTACTGCCTGGACAGATTTGTCCTGAGACCCCATTATGAAACTCATGCTGCACCAACACGTCTCCTTCAAGCGACTATAGCACCTTGGCGCATCACGTCGGCTCTCTGCATAGTGCCTCAGACGCACCTTGAGCTCTCACAGGTCTCTTTTTAGGTTAAACCCATAGATAACTGGTATGGCAGCAAACTTTTTATGAAGTTACTTTTGGGAGAGGGAGAAAGCATGACAGCCGTTTGAAAGAAAGGTGTTATTTTAAAGCGACTACTTAGCTGTTGTGTAGGGTCTCCGATAGAAAATCTAACAAGCTGGTATTGATCCTACAGAGAACGAATTCTTTTGTAATAACAGATCAGAAGTTTAAACATTTGAAACCCAGAGGCGAATTCTGGCGCATTCCATCCTCCTTTCTCACTGAGCTTTTCCATCAGAGCAGCTGGCAAAGATTCACTTCGGATTTCCTGCCCCCTGGTGGAGGTGCTAATGAAGAGGAACTGGCCAAAGGCAGCTGGTGAGGACGAAGTCTGCAAGATCCCCAAACAAGCAGAAAATTCCCACAACCAAAGGGCCTACGTGAAAGTGTTCTCGCTCTGCACACAGTAAAGCACACCCAAGGAACCAAAGGCCTGTGCCTGGGGCAGGTATTCAGATTTCTCCAAAGCGCTCCATTTCTATGAAAATCTAGCCTGAATTTGAGAAAGAGAAGTCGTCCTTTCTCCTGATTTTTGGGCTCTTGATAAGATTCTCTTGATTTGTACATGGCAGCCAGCCCACCCTGCAGAGAGTCCTGAGAGTGTCTGAGGCCACAGCAGGGCTACACCCCTCTGGCCCTGCTATTCCCCATCACCTGCATCTGAATAGGTTCCTCATGGAGAGAGAGAGGGGTTTCCAGGGCCCACCCCTAACATCTCTGAATAGACAATCATCTAGAATCCTGGGGACCTGCAAGTAGGACTTTAGAAATGTATGTTTTACAAATGCCCTATGTAGATCATGCTGCTGAATTGTCCTGTTGCTTCTCTCCCAGATGGCTAGACCCGGGTTCACGGGCTCACGTGGGAAAGGGGGATAAGAAATATGTATCAGAGGCAGGGAGATGGGAGTCGTCCCTACCGCTACCCGAGTTTTCCCAGGGAAGAATTAGATGTCTTTTCATGGTGAGTCATGATGCATGGACAGCATCAGTGTGCCCTTGACAAAAATCAGAACAGAACCAAAACCACATAAGCCTCCGCACAGCAGGCAGGCTCCAGGCTTGGAGACTGCAAACCCTGTGCATCCCCCAGCTTGTCTTTGGTTTGGACTGATTTGTCACATCGTAATCATATTAACAGTAAAAACCCCAACTTTATTGCCAACATTTAGGAATTCGGAAAGACTGTGCATAAAAACCCCCATTTCCAGCTTCTCTTGAAATTTTTTTAAAATTTCTGGCTCCAAGGGTCTCATGTTTTTACCTTGCAGTCCCAGCCCCATTAGACAAAGCTCTGGCGCACACACTCCTGTCCGCTAGCCACGCTCATCCCAATCCACTACTGATTTTAAGGTTCTGTAGCATCCAACCACCAAAGCTGTGGTTCACATTTCTTCAGTCCCTCCACACGCAGGCTAAATCAATGTCTTGGATGGTGATCAGCATGACGGAAGGTGCCAGAAAGCAACCTCTCAACTTTACACATCCTGATCCTTCTTTTGACACCTTCACAAAGCCTAAGATTTTACAAGTGTCACCATGTACTCAAGGCATATTAAGCAACTACTATGTGCCAGGAACTGTTCTGGCCGACAGGGGATGCAAGGGTAAACAAAATCATGACAGCAAAGGCCTTAAGCACACACAACACTTCTGCAGGCCTGCACACTGCCTGTTTCTCTAGCCCCGGGGCTTGCTCCCCATAAACACCGGCTTGCAGGAGGCCTCATCCGTAAATCAAACTCAGGTTTCAGCAAAATCACAGATGCTAAGGATTACACAAGGTCAAGATCAAAACCATGGATGTTAAATCCTCAGATGCCAAGGTTCTTGAATGCCTAACTCGCACCAGTGAAGTGCAAGTGGTTTTGCTCTCTCAGGGAAGGCTGCAGGCTGGTACACACCTCAAGGGTTCCTACTGGCTCAAGCAGACTCTCTTCAGCCACACAAGAGATGCCCCTGTACTATTCTCCCTGCTGTCCACTTGCCCCACAGGAGGCACATGGCCTTTGATCCCGTGCAGGAGCTGGCGGAGAGCTGCAAACTGAAAAGCTTACTCGCGGCCTGGCAGGTTTGCTGCCTGACAGGCCTGGGATGAGAACTCAGGAGTAGGGTTCCGTGGTACACTGCTGACCCCACGGCCTGTGCAGAGGGCACAGCTGCTCCTGGGCTGCAGCCAACGGTTTCCATGCTGAGAAGTGGGCCTGGTTATTGCCCCATCTCATTTTTCCAAAGCAGCCAGAAACCAGGATTCTTTTTACACTGGCAAGGGATGCAAACTGTTGAAAAATGCCACATGGGCCAAACAAAACGTGCCGCAGGCCAACTCCAGCCGGTATGCAGCCTTCAAACTGAAGCAAAGGCACAGGCATCACCCATGAAGCCCGGCCATCAAACGGGGGCTCCAGGCATTGCGGCTCACACACAGAGAGGCAGACAAACGAGGCCTCTGCCACATTACCATAAAAAGGTCGAATTCTTCCTCCCGCCGGGCAATCATCTGGTTCAGAGTCTCATCGTCTGGAACTTCATCTTCTTCCTGGGGGTGAAGAGGAGAACGAATAAACAGGCTTTAGTGAGGAGGCTGGACAACCCGGACACGGCACAATCAAGGACGGTGAACTTGACCTCCAGATCGGGCCACAGGGTGGCGAGTCGGGGGTCTGGGCGGTGAGAGAGCTGTTCTGTTTCTCAAGCCAGAAAGAAAACAAAAAGGTATCTGGGTTCAGTACTTGCCATTGGTAACTGCAAGATATTCAAACCATCTTCCCTAAGCAAAATCTGTCTCTGGGGGAAGTGTGCTGCACCCTAATACTGGTTCTCAGGGTGGGTGTGTGTCTCGATTCTGTTACTTTTCAAACAAATTACTTAGCCTCTCCCGCCTCGATGACCTCATCTGTCAAATGGGTGTGACATCCACTTCAGAGGCACGTGTGGTTTCCAGGAGGAAATCCACATGAAAAAAAGTGACTGACTTTAGGCTTTTCATTCCACTGACCTTATCCCAAATATAAATGCTTATTTTCAAAGGCTTGCAGAAGACATGAGAATATGAGGCACACAGCAGGACCAAAAAACAATCCCATCTATGTGCTAAATAATATACTTTAGCCACATTTAACCCAAGTATTTCAGAGGTGAATATTACTGCTCATAGAGTGGAAGTTAGGATAAATCAAAAGGTATCAAAAATTTCTGATAAAAACCTCAAAATTAAATTCAGAGTAATTTAAATAAATAGACAGTAAATACAGAAGGGCTAAAATTTTTATATTGTATGAAACAAAGGCATATTATCTGTCTGGAAACGTCTCAGGAACCAATAGTTGTCAAGATTTCAGGAATGCTAAGCTATAAATTCCACACTTCAAAAAAAAAAAAAAAAGACTTGAAGTTGTACATATACAGGATTAAGCTTCCAAAAATTTTTTTCATATGCTGAGTGGGCTTGATAAGAACCAAATTAAGGGGGCCAGCGCTGTGGTGTAGCAGGTAAAGCCGCAGCCTGCAGTGCCAGCATCCCATATGGGCGCCAGTTCAAGTCCTGGCTGCTCCAGTTCCAATCCAGCTCTCTGCTGTGGCCTGGGAAAGTAGAAGATGGCCCAAATCCTTGGGCCCCTGTACCCGCGTGGGAGACCCGGAAGAAGCTCCTGGCTTCTGACTGATGCAGCTCTGGCCATTGCGGCCAATTGGGGAGTGAACCAGCAGATGGAAGACCTCTCCCCCCTTCCCCTCCCTCTCCCTCTCCTTTTTCTCTGTGTAACTCTGACTTTCAAATAAATAAATAAATCTTCAAAAAAAAAAAAAAATGAGGGGTTTCAGTGTATCAGCAGAGAGGAGCAGGAAAACTCGCAACTTCAAAGGTCTGATTTCACCAATCGCATGTTCCAAACGAGGCAACTTCTTAGTCTGAATGCACTAGCCGCTTAAATGAGATACCAAAGTCAGTTCTCCACATACTGTCTAAATGCACTGTAGGAACTTAATAGGTGTCAGAAATGAATGCAATCCAATAAAGGAAAAAAATTCCCATGATTCAAGAAAATGATTACTTCTGAAAAACCTTCTGTCCTAGCTCTCCTCCAGCCTGATTCAAGTCAACCTGTGTCCATACTGCACTGCATCTAAGGCCACACGAGATGGGAGTGGCTCTGACATCACAGTGCAAAGGACCCCTGGGGAACAGATGTCCTCTGTTCCCCTCTCATCAACTACATGAGTACAGTGTGTGCGTGTGTGTGTGTGTGTGTTGTGCCCAAGATAAAAAGATTCTCTCATAAACTGGCAGGAAGCCTGCCCACAATGGCCTAACCTTCCCAGAGGGCCAAATGGCCTGGAAGTGTGCAACAAACCATCCTGGCTTCTCTGTGCCCTAGCACCTCACGGGACATCCACTGCCTTGATGGCAGCCCTGCTTTCCTTGGATATTTAGAGCTGCAGCCACGCAGGGTCCCCAAACACAGATCTATCCTCGCATTAGGACACAGGCCACCCACAACGTAACATCTGCCTGCAAGGGATGCTGAACCCCGGCAAGGCAGCTCACAGCTACAAGCAAATAGCAGGGGTCCCACTCCCAGCCCCTGGTGCAGTGATCCATATCGCCTGGTGGCTTAGGAAGGTGGCACCACTGCAGGGCTCCCTTCCACCCCAGGACACCCTGATCAGAGACTAACTTCCCAAAGCCTGCACAAAACAAACCAGCAAAAGCACAGTGGCGATGACTCGCTGAGCATCAGCTCTGCCCACACCTGCTTCACGACACTCAAGATCGCTCACGCTATTGTTCTTCAAAAACACTCGAGTGCCTGAACAACAGTCACCTGGCAATCTGACTGCTAAAAATACAGTATCAGCTATTAAATAATCAGAAACAGTCCATTACTTGACATCGCATGTTTTCAGATTTGTTTATCTGAAAGAGTGACAGACAGAAGAGATCTCCTACCCGCTGGTTCACTCTCCAGATGGCTGCAATGGCCAGGGCCGTGTCAAGCAGAAGCCTGAAGCCTGGAACTCTATCCAGGTCTCCCACACGGGTGGCAGGGGCCCAAGCACTTGGGCCATCCTCCAATGCCATCCCAGGCACACATGAGCAGAGAGCTGGGTGGGAGGCAGAGCAGCCAGGACTTGATCTGGCACCCACACGGGATGCTGGCCTAACAGGTAGCAGCTTAACTGCTGTGCCACAGCACCAGCCCTGACATCAAAAGTTGTAAATGTGTGTGGGGATGTGTGGGTGTGCACGCATATGTGTTTTTCATCTTCATGAAATCCACCTCATTAGCAGGCATAAAGCAAACGTTCTCTTCCATTTGGGGGATTCCTTTAAATATCAAGTTCTTCTTCATATTCAGCTTCACTTCAGGGAAAACAAAATACTTTTAACAGAATTTGGTTTACAATTTATAGAAGACTTTAAAAACACTTATCCTATTTCAGAAAAAATGAAATTATAGCTAAAATGTGCAATGAAAATAGTATTCCGCATGAATATGTAAGGTAAACTTACTCTTCAATTTATAAGTATGGGCACGTAAAATTGAAGTTGTCCTTATCCAGACAGTTTTATGATAAGCACGGTTGCTACTATTTTGTACAATTTTCTAGACTATAAATATGTTTTAAATTTACTTCAAATCCGTTTTGGAATGAATATTTAGTATAAAGTTAACAAAATTGGCAATATAAAAAAAAGTAACAACAAACCAAAGATCCCCTAAAGGAAATGTAATCGATGTAGAATTTTGGCAAGAGAAGAATGACTGTGAGCAGGGTACTAAAATACAGCCTTTGGGACTAAAGCTTTTAAGGGCAGTTTTAAGTACAGGTTAAGGTCACACTTTCCTGGTGCACGTACAGCTAAATGAGCTGAAGACGACGCGTCCTGCCCATGTTTGGAGGTGATGTCATGCCTGATGCAATGCAGCGGAGACAGAGGCCTCTGGAGGCCAGGAGCCTTCTTCCAGCTTTGTCCCACCCACTGACAACATGTAAGCCAAGCGTGCTCTCTGCAGTTCCACAGCTGCCCTACAGGAGGCAGCATTTATAATACAACTAAGCAGGTGGCTGCTCCTCCCTGGGAGAAGCAGGGAGGGGAAGCATGCACAGGCTAAGCCTTCAGAGCTTTCCAGCACGAGTTCTTCAGATGCTCGCGTGGAAACCCTCAGAGGTTTTCTGTGCTTGGGACAGAACACGGCAGATCACACTCATTTTCATTAACACCAGCCCAGGACGTTGTTTAAAGAACAAAAGGGGGTCATGCCTAACCCATCGGGGACAAACCGCAGGACTCCAAGCTCACGGCTTCCTGAGATACCTCGTTCTCCTCCTCGTGCTCCAGGATGGCCTGCAGGAACGCCCTGCGCTCGTGGCTCGACGACTTCTGATCAAACATGCCCGCCTGGATCACCTTCTGATCCACGTTCAGCTTGTATTTGGCGGCTGCGAGAATCTTCTCCTCCACACTGTTCACGGTGCACAGTCGCAGCACCCGCACCTCGTTCTGCTGGCCGATGCGGTGCGCTCGGTCCTGTGCCTGCAGGTCCTGTTGGCGAGAATGAGTGCTGTGAGGACAGCCCAGGTGTCAGGATCAGCCCAGCACAGAGGTCCCTACCCAAGAGGGAAAGATGGGAGGCTTGTTTAGTGCACCTTGACAGGAAGGAGGAAGGTTAAGGTTTTGCTTGGGCTTTTAAAACACACAAGCTTCTTTCTTTGGAAAATGCCAAGGTCATTCCTAGTTAAGGAAACCTGGGTTCAAGCCAAATTAAATATAACCAATACAACCTTTTTTTAATATTTATTTATTTGAAAGGCAGAGTTAAGGGAGGCTGGGGGAGGCAGAGTGAGAGCAATCTTCCAACCACCGATTCACTCCCCAAATGCTGGCAACAGCCAAGGCTAGGCCAGGCCAAAGCCAGGAGCTAGGAGCTTCACCTGTGTCTCCCATGTGGGTGCACGGGCCGAAGCTGCTATCTCTGATGCTGCCATTGAGCCCGTCCCCCACTCCCACTCCTCCGCTTCTGATCCAGCTTCCATGCATCTGGGAAGGCAGCAGCAAATGGCCCAGATGCTTGTACCTCTGCTACCCACGTCGGAGACACGGATGGAATTCTTCGTTCCTGGTTTCGGCTTGGCCCAAACTTGGCCACTGCAGCCATTTGAGGAGTGAAGCAACAGATGGAGGATCTGTTTCTCCCTCTCTTGATGCCTGTTACCTTGCCTTTCAAATAAGATGACTCTTTAAAAAAAATTTTTTTTAATCTGTCCCTAGGTTCATAATTAGTCTCTATTTGAAACAAAAAAAAATGCTATGTTTGTTATCAGAAGTATGATTTAGATATTACCTGTAACTAACCTCCAATTGCAAGAAAGACCCTCCCTTTGGTGCTGTGTTAAAGCTGCTTTTGAAAACATCACACGTGCATACATGTATTACATGTGCATTCACACATAATACATACAGTGACTGCTCAGGTAGCCAATTTCCTGGGACCTAATTCTATCAAAGACTCAGCCTTGAGTTTGGAAAATGAAAAAGATTGTTAGTGGGACAGTAGGTTGGTGAGCTGCTGGGGACAGAAATGTGGTACAATATATTAAAAAATGTTAAAATTGGATATGGCTTTTTTAACATTTCACTTCAGAAAACTTACCCTAAAGTAATAATCATGAATCTGGATTAAGATTTAGAAGTCAGGATGTACCCTCTTTTTAGTACTTATTCAGCATGACTTCTCAATACAGCAGAGGTAAACATTCAAAGGTAACAGATTGCTTAAATATAATCGTCTACTGTATGCAAGTACCAACATAGTGTAAGAATTACACTATAGAAAATGTTAAGGGCACAAAACTATACTGAAAAACACAAGTTGTGACTATGTGCATTGTGATGTCACATGTACATATGTATCTTCAAGGAAAATGCCAACAGTATCTGTCTCTCCAGGGACTAAGTATAGCCATTACTTAAATTTCTTCACTTTGCTCACAGGTGGTTTACCAATTGTTCCTACTTTCAAGTATATTACTCTTATAACGAGGACAAGGGTTTAAAGAAACCTTCAAGTAAAAACCTTCCTAACTCTATGAAGCAAAGCTAGCTAATTGGATAGCCACACAATCAACACCTCCAGGCGTGCCACTCAGGTCACTGTGGTCCCATGCTAACTGGGCGCTGGCACGCGTCCCCCCATTAGACTACACCCACTGTTCAGGCCAGAGCCTGTTCCCTGGCTCCTGCATCCTCAGCGCCATATTCTGCACACGGCCGACACTTGGCAACCGTGAGCTCATGCTCTTGACCACAGGAGTTTCCTCGTCACGCGGGGAGAGCGCACCAGACTGATATTTTGCTGCGGGGACTTTTAAAATTAAATGACTGATTAGGCAAGAGTTTTTCCTAGAAGGTGTCTGATTAAGCTAATATAAATATCATGGTGCTGAACCATGAACATAGCTGGGACCTATCCAAGTTAGAATTTTCTGAAGAGGAGAATGTCAGGTGGGTAATTGGGATCCAAAGTGGGGGGGGGGGGCGCTAAACGTCCTTCGAAAGCCCTTAGTGGGGCTGGCACTGTGGTGTAGCGGGTAAAACCTCTGCCTGCAGTGCCGGCATCCCACGTGGGTTCTGGTTCGAGTCCTGGCTGCTCCACTTCTGATCCAGCTCTCTGCTGTGGCCTGGGAAAGCAGTGGCAGTTGGCCCAAGTCCTTGGACCCCTGCACCCACGTGGGAGATCTGGAAGAAGCTCCTGGCTTCAGATCAGTGCAGCTCCAACTGTTGTGGCCAATTGGGAAGGGAACCAGTAGATGGAAGACCTCTCTCCCTGCCTCTCCTTCTCTCTCTGTATAACTCTTTCAAAATAAATCTCAAAATAAAAAAAAAAAAAAAAAAAAACACCTTGGTTCCTTCTCGTCTCAACACTTCTCCACCAGAACTGCAAAGCAGCAGCCAAGATGGCAGTTTCTACACCATCACTCCTGTCATGCGGCTGGGAACCTACTTCTGCAGTGGGCCCACTACTGAATATTCCAGGGCCTCTGGGCTGGGAGCAAAACCCAACAACTCTTCTCACCAACAGGCTGGCATCTTCTGCTTTTCTTTCACTTCATGATTACACCCAAAAATGTGCCAGCCACTCCGCTACTGACACAACCACACAAGTACCAGGAGCCTCAAGACCTCAATGCAGGCAGCAGCGGAGTGCGACAGGTGAGGAAGCAGAGGACATGGCTAATATGCAAACAGGGTCACATGTTCTTGATGTCCTGTCCTGGGGGCTGGTTGTAATTCCCGTTGTCTGGAGGTTGTGAGAGCGGAGTGTGTGTGGCTGCTTAAAATTATCCATCTACTTGCCAAGTAGCAAAGTTGGTATTTTTAGGCCAGGGAAGTTTGTGGAATGTGAGCCTATGAGTCTCCAAGCCAAAAAAGATGGGGGTAAAGAGTACTGTGCTGAAGACGAGAACGCTATCATCACTGAATGGTTATTCAACAGACATCAGGGATTGATCTGTAACAGCCACGCAGCCCCAGTGCCATGGGTTAAACATGCAGGTACATATAAACCTGTATTTCTAATCAACAGTTTGGAAATGAGGGTCTTGGTAAATCTGAAGGATTTTTTTTTTTTTTTTTTGACAGGCAGAGTGGACAGTGAGAGAGTGACAGAGAGAAAGGTCTTCCTTTGCCATTGATTCACCCCCCAGTGGCCACTGCAGCCAGCGCACCGCGCTGATCCGAAGCCAGGAGCTTCTCCTGGTCTCCCATGCGGGTGCAGGACCCAAGGACCTGGGCCTGCACTCCTGGGCCACAGCAGAGAGCTGGCCTGGAAGAGGAGCAACTGGGAAAGAATCCAGCGCCCCGACCGGGACTAGAACCCGGTGTGCCGGTGCTGCAGGTGGAGAATTAGCCTATTGAGCAGCGGTGCCGGCTTTTTTTTTTTTTTTTTTACAATTCTACCTTCATGGCTTCTGTCTTTGGTTCCAGGTAAGACCTCTACTGGGAAACTTTCAGGCTTCTTTCTTTCATCTGTCAACCTATGTCAATCCCTGTATTCCATCTCTCTGCCTTAACTCTGATGCAACATGATAAAGACTTCTCAGAAACTTCTCTTCACCAATTTGGTAAAAGTGCTATTCAACTTTCATTTGCACAACTTTCATTTGGGGGCCATGCTAAATACATTATGGACATTCAAGAAGTTTACGGAAAAATGCTTATTAAAAAAAAAACCCTAATTAAAAAAGTGCTTTCGTGCCAAAATAAGCTTATCTTTTAATTCCAATTTTCCACAAACTTTTTCTCATTTGAAAAGCAAAATGACAGAAACAGAGGGACAGACACAGCAAGCAAACACCCCACAACAGCTGGGACTGTGCAGGCTGAAGCCAGGAGCCGGGAACTTGGTTCAGGTCTCCCATGCGGGTGGCAGGTACTCAGTACTGGAGCCATCACCTGCTGCCTTCCCTGCCCCATTAACAGGAAGCTGGATCAGAAGTAGAGGTGGGACTTAATCCCAGACACTGATGTGGGATGTGGCTGTCACAAGGGACAGGATTTAAATGCAGTCTGAGTTTGGGTCTGAATCCTGGGTTTGGGCTCCTCCTGCCCTGCACCTCCACATTTGAGACTCATATCAGAAAGCTTGTGGAGGAGCCTGCACTGTGGCACAGTGCTCAAGACGCCACTTGTGACGCCCACAGGACTCACATCCAGATAAATGTCCCACCCAACACCTAACAGGCAGGTGCATTACCTCCTATTGTGATTTAGGAAACCAGTGCCATTAGGGAACCATTCGATTTATGTATTTCATGGGTTTGTTACATCACCCAAGTACTCCTTTGAAAGGGTAATTCTAAACTTACCTGTCTCAAAGAACTCACAGTACAACATGCTTGACAGACTATGCTTTGATGATGATTTTAAATGGAACACACAAAAGGCGACCTATCATACATGGACTGCATGCTTTGAGAAGTCACTAAACTTCCTAGGACCTGGTTTCCTCGACTGTCAAGAGGCAAAGAGTAATAGGAACTATCTCTCAGGGTTGTTGTAAAAACTGAACAAAGAAGGGATGATACTGTGGCACAGCAGGTTAGACCGCGGCCTGCAACGCTGGCATCTCATATTAGAGTGCTGGTTGCAGTCCTGGCTGCTCTGCTTCTGACCCAGCTCCCTACTAGTGCATCTGGGAAGGCAGCCGAAGATGGTGCAAGTGCCTGGACCCCTTCCATCCATGTGGAAGACCTGGATGAAACTTTGGGCTACTGGCTTAGGCCTGGACCAGTGCCAGCCATTGCAGCCATTTGAGGGGTGAATCCAGAGATGGAAGATCTCTTTCTCTGTATCTCTTCCTCTCACTCTGTCATTCTGCCTTTCAAATAAATAAATATTAAAAAAAAAAAAAAAGGCCGGCGCCGCGGCTCACTAGGCTAATCCTCCGCCTAGTGGCGCCGGCACACCGGGTTCTAGTCCTGGTTGGGGCGCCAGATTCTGTCCCGGTTGCCCCTCTTCCAGGCCAGCCCTCTGCTGTGGCCAGGGAGTGCAGTGGAGGATGGCCCAGGTGCTTGGGCCCTGCACCCCATGGGAGACCAGGAAAAGCACCTGGCTCCTGGCTCCTGCCATCAGATCAGCGCGGTGCGCCGGCCGCAGCGCGCCAGCCGCGGCGGCCATTGGAGGGTGAACCAACGGCAAAGGAAGACCTTTCTCTCTGTCTCTCTCTCTCTCACTGTCCACTCTGCCTGTCAAAAAAAAAAAAAAAAACGGACCACCGTGTATGTGGTGGCTGGTGCAGCATGAAGGATTCCATAATGTTGGTTGGTTGCTGCTGTTATTACTTTGAAACATTTTTCATTTATCCTTCACCAAACGTATTTTGCTCAAAGACATTCCCCATACATAGGCTTGAAAACTGAGCAGAAACTGAGTTTTTTTTGTCCCCTAGACTGGAGTGCTTCAGAGGTGTGTCTGGGACACTGCAACACCTGTGCTCAGAGGGAAGCCAAGACCACACCCATCCCGATTGGCAGGACGCCTTCCGCCTGGGAAAGGGCCACCCCGGCCACCCGGCCTGAACGTGCCAGTGACCACGCGCTCATGCAGACCTGGTGTGGGTTCCAGTCGCTGTCGAAAATGACCACCGTGTCGGCCGCCTGCAGATTTAAGCCCAGGCCTCCTGCTCGTGTGCTCAGCAAGAAGATGAAATACTGGGACCCAGGCTCGTTGAATTTCTTCAGCAAAGCAGCACGATCTTCAGACTTGGTGGTGCCTGAGGGGATCAGAAAAATAAATCTCCCCATTAACTTCTGTCTGAGAACGGCCAAAACCAGAGGAAAAGGCTGTCTTCCTGGAGAAATACACCGGACCCTCCTCAACAAAGGCGAGCACGGGCGAGGCAGACCCCAGGGCTCTGCTGCCCTTTGGAAGGAACTTTTGAATATTTTGCAATTAAAAAAAAAAAAAAAAAGCGAGCAAGAGCGAGTGAGCGAGGGTTTAACTGTTTCTGACTGGGCTCGTTTGAGACTACAACATTCTCTCTCTAAACGCAGACTTAATGAAAGCATTTCCTGAACTTACTTCTGAGCTTGGAAACACCAGATAATTTCTAAAGCCCACCCACATGCATACACACGTGCCTAAAACAATTATTATAATGGCTTAAAGCAACCTTGCCAACAGGCATTAAAGTGATGCTTATTTATGCCAAGAGAGTGGGAAGGAAAGGACAGTTGATTGCTCTGCCTTTTCCGGATATCTCTGGCTGGTAAAGACACAAAATGCGAGGGGAACATCTTGATCCTTGCTAGCGAGACCTAGAGCCACAATAAGCCCACAGAGGGACTCCCTTAGTCCGCTTCTCATGCTGGCATTCTGTAAGTTCAGAGGATGCCCAACCAAAACCAAACACGGCAGTGCCTTACACACCTGGGGTTATCCCACGGAGCCGGGGAAGGCTCCAGCTCAGCGCAAGCGCACAGCGTGCCAAACCCCCAAGTGCAGGGCTCACTTGTGGGGTGCCTCTGCACTCCAGCTGAGCCGTTCAATCACAGGCTCTCCGACTGCAGTGCATTTCCCTGGCCGCGTCATGAAGTGCACTGAGGAAGGGGGAAGAAATGCCCACCAGAACCCCATCTGAACCCACTTTATGAGAAAAGTACAGATGCAGAGTTCAGAAAGAGGACTTTAGGCTGTTGGGAAATACATACACGTGTTACACGATACTCCCTGATTGGCTGCTACGCAAATATTATTTCTTCATGTTGTTCTTTTTTTTTTTTTTTTAAGGTTGGAAATAGACCAGCAATTTCTTTCACAGGATTAAAACAGTTAAGTGACTCCAGCTAATGGGATCAAGTTACTACGGGGGTCAAGTTCCCAAACATGAGCGTCTGTTTTCCACATTTAGTAAAAATAACAAGTACTCTCCTGAGCAGGGGGAAGAAAATCAATTCCCTGCGTGGAGATTAGGAGTGACGGGCTCTGGGGCCCTCCTTCGTTGAAGCCATGTTCTTTAGATTGTTTACTTTCTACATGAAATTTCAAACTTAGCCAACTGGTCAACTCCTGCCACAGTGACTGTGGGAAGCAATGCTACGTGTGCTTTGTTCGATGAGCTTTCAAAATGCAGAACTCTTGTTTCTCTCATTTTCAGAATGGCCCGAGATTATGGTGAACCATCTGCTGATGGTGCTAACAGGAGATGCATTCTGTTTCGCTGTGAAACCTTCTCTCCAGATTTTCTTTCCAGTTAAAATTATTTTTTCAAGAATAACTCACACACCCTAATGGTTCTCCTGTTTATCCCTGGCCTTAAGCTGGAAAAAAAAAAAAAAAAAAAAAAAAACTAAAAATGGAGAGAAAAGGCACTCCAAAAGATGATGACATACGATGCACTGTGCATCTGTGTACTCTGAATGTAGAAGTTCTGCAGTTTTGATCAACAGGAAAAAAAAATCAGCTAATGATCACATAATTAAGACTTAGGAAATATGGCTCCTTGGAATGAAATAGCAGTGAAAAACAAAAGGAATATCCAACTTACTAGGTCAGACAAGGTTTCAGGCCTTGTACAGATAAGCACAGAATGCCGCCACATAGTTGCGTATTTACACTGTGTAAGTAGCTGTGAACTTGACAAATTATAAAGACAAACCAAAAAAGAATCAAAATCACCTTTCATGCAACCCTATGGCATTTCTTATTATGTGGATCAACATGCTCCACAGTATCGCTCTCTTTAGTCAGAACTTCCCAAACAAAGCCCCTCGCCCATCAGCAGCCACCTTTCTGTCTCTGCTCAGGGAGATTCCAAGGGCCCTGGGAGAGTTCACCCCCAGGCAAAGGCTCCCCACAGCTGGCACCAGATTTAACGTGCTGAGTGCTCACATCAGTTTCATGGTCTTTGAGACTTTGATGTGGAACATAATCAACTATAAGAACACAATTAATAGCAAGGGCAATTGTGTTGAAAATTACAGAAACTGCCAGAAGGAACTGCCAGACTTCCATGCTTAGTAATTTTAGCTTGCTTTTAGCTGCTTCTGGAAAATTTTGTTTTCTAGGATCAAACTTCACCAGTCACTGTCACTCAAGAATAATTCCCAGAAAAAATGAAAACTCCAGCTGAATAGTAGCTAAATGTCTTCATGTGACCATAGGAAAAACATGCTTAGCTCTCAATCAAGTGATTAAAAAAAAAGTCAAAATCTGAGACATCAAATACAGCAATGAAAATCTGCAGTCATTTTACCAGCAGGGTCATGGGGTTTGGGGGTGCAGCTGTAAATATGTATGATAACTTATCCCTGTGTATACTGAAGGACTGGGCACAGAAGCCCCCCCCCCCAAAAAAAAAAAAAAAAACAGCTGCTGCTGCTTGTGGGAAGGAGCCTGTGTGCCCTTCTCAGTTCCATCTCTAACACTACACCTGCTGCTGGCCCATCTCCTACAACCTAACTCTAACAGCTCTGCCAGGCAGCTCTTCCATCAGCTATCTTCTAGGGCCTGGTCTTTTCCAATTGGGTAACTTAAAAGTTTTAAATATGTTTAAAATCATTCTTAAAGTGCTATCATTGCAGAAACAACTTCTACTTTTAGAAATGGGGTATATTTTGCTGTGCCTACTAAAATGAGCTCATTGGCAACCAGCGAGCTCTAAGTGAGAAGCTGGTTTCTCCAGTAACTTCCGTTGTCTCGTGCATTTAGCGGGGATGGTATGAAGCACCCTGGTCAACAGCACTTTATTTGTTGAGAAAAGTAAATTAACACTGCACACAAAGTTGTTTGCCTAATATCCCACACGTGGTAAGTGCTCCATCAAATGTTGGCTGGGATGGCCATGACTGCTATGATCAATAACAATAAGCACAGCAACCATCAGACTACTCAAGACAATCTCTCAGGTCGGCAAAAAACACTCGAGCAATTTGTTTCAAGGAAACCTCTCCTTACTGGTTTTACAGATCCAAATACTCCAAGGCCGCAGTCCTCGGAAAGCTAGAGAGCTCAGGTTCAATGTGAAGCGCCACCAAGTAACAAACAAGGCTCAGCCGAGCCACCTGGGGGAGGGGGGTTGTACCGGCAAGGGTGAGGAGGTAGCCAATGAAACCTGGCTGCCTCTCACCAGAGCAGAGGTAAAGGCCAGGCCGGCAGAGGAGCAGAGAACTGTCCCCACAGGGAGGGAAGGCTGCGAACAAAGGAGAAGCAGCTACAGGAGACTTGCCAAAGAACAGACTGTCACTATACCTGATTGTCTGTGAATTCCAAATTACCACTGGCTTACCCACTGATCCGTTTTCAGTGACAGGGTGGAGAGGCAGCACAGGGCGTTAAATAACCAAGTCCACTCAATAGTGTAATTAATTTAGAGTTTACTCTTGGCTAAGAGGTACCCCACAAAGAGAATTCACATAAAAACTCAAGTACGAAAATGTCTGGCAAATTTGAGTTTGGCATAAAACCAATTATATTTTGATTAATGGCAAAAGAAGGACCAAGTGATGGACTGAAAATAAAACAAAGCCTTTTAATGGAACATAAACCTTACGTCTCCCCCATTTAGCAATAATATTCACACTGTATTGGACGAAATCTATTAGCAAGACTGTCCTCTTTTACACCACGGATTAAATCCATCCTGCTTATAAATGAGCTCCCATTCCTACTCACCACACTTTGAAAGTATTAGCCCCTGCTACAGGATAAGAACACTGGTATCTTTCATCTTTAAAACATGATGCCAGTCTCTAAATCATAAAGAAATGAAGGCGACATTCCTAAACCCCTATTTTCTTCCCTTCCTACATGATGACTAATTTTTAGGACAGAATATTTAAATTTCACTCTTAAAATCAGGCAAATAGTTCACACAGCTTGCAGACTCCAGGAAATAATAGAGCCACATTTTTTAGCAATGTAACATGTGGCTATGTTCTATTTAGAAAGAGAAGCTTTAAAGGTAATTAAATATAGTCTGAAATGAACAATTACACTACTCCTGAAGAAAGGCGCGCTGACCTTTATCCCCTTAAGACACAATAAGCCATCGGCTCGTCAACAGCTTCTATATGGTGAGCAGGCGACTCGGTATTCGTGACAGTACATGCATATGCGTCGGTTTGCACGCAGGAGGAACAGCTGTGCGAATGCGGTCAGGTTATTTAAAGCCTCGGGATGTAAAACCTGCTGTCTAGGAAAACTGCAGCCCATCCTGCAGTTCGATCCTTCTCCACTTTCACGCCTCCTTTTTGTACAGAGATGGAATCTAAGCACTAATCTCTCCCGTCGTTTTTGGGAGCATGGATTCGGAGCGCGATACCTGCCTCACTCACCGTCAAGGCGCAGATAAAGGAAGTTGCGAAAAGCAAAATAATCCTCCATGATGGTCATGAGGGAGGTCATCTGGCAGAAGAGCAGCACGCGGTGATTGGTCGCTCTCAGCTTGGGCAGAATACGATCAAGGAGCTCGAACTTTCCCGAGGCCCGGTACAGCTCAGCCCTGAACCCAAACACACAGAATACAGAGACAGTGTGACTGCTGTCTTCTCCAAGGGTACGGTAGGGCTTTCTATTGCTGCAAGGCATGGTTTTCTTCACCGTCCCTTGCTGATGGCGCATTTCCTATACAGACCAAATTCTTACCAAATGACCAAAATCATACACAATTATCTCAGACGAGACATTTACTTCCTGTCATGCACATTAATGTTAAATATAAACACGAAACATAAAATAAATTCTATTCAAGCCCAAGCTACACTTCTGGTTACAAGTAAGAAACCTGCAGGAGGCCAGGGTTGTGGTCCTGCCTAAAACACTGGCATCCCATATTAGAGCACCAGTTCAAGTTCAGGCTGCCCTGCTTCTGATGCAGCTTCCTGCTAAGGTGCTTGGGAAAGCAGAAGACAGCCCAAGTACTTGGGTCCCTGCCACGCACAGGGGAGACATGGATGCTGTTAGCTTTGTTCTGGCCTAGCCCTGGCTCCTGTGGCCATTTGGGGAGTTAACCAGTGGATGGAAGACATCTCGCTCCCGGTCTCTGCCCTCTGTCACTTTCCCTTTCAAAATAAGACAAATCGTTTAAAACAAACAGAAAACCCAAATGCTTTGAGGTTTCAGCAACATTTTTAGAACACTGGGATCCTGTCAACTGTCCTAAATGAGATCTCTGTCCTTGAGTAGACTCATGTTCAAGGCAAACAGTGACTTATGCTGGTAAGGCAAAAGCAGTCGCTGACCTCACTCTGGTAACCACCTGGTGCCCCTCACTGGGGAGTAAGGAGGGTGAGGAAGCAGGTAACCCGCAGGTGCAGCACAGGAAACACTGCGGACAGCAGGCTTTTAGGCAGGGCCCACAGCTCTATGTTTTGGAAGAAAAAGATGCTCAAGATTTACCCATTGATGACTCCATTTGAGTAGCCCAGGTGTTCAGCAAAGGATTCCTGCAAGAGAGGGAGAAAAGAGTGATGTACAACACTGCTATTATTAACTGAGCGCTGACTTGCTCAGCGAGGCCATCCTGTCTATTTCTAGAGGAAAGTTCAACAAAATAATAAATGAATGGGCAAATACTTTGGGGTAGCAGGAAGCAGAACATCAAGGCCTGTGTGTTCAGACTTCTGCTCCCCCCAGGAGTGTGCCCTGTGAGTTGCTTCCCATTTAGATCAGGCAGTCAGTTCACCTGCCAATGACCAAGCACCTATTGGGCCGTTCACAAGCTGCTTCAGGGAAGCCCCCTAGAGGAGCTCGGAGTCTGGGGTAGGAAGAGCTCCATTCAAGCAGATCGGGGTTGAAACGTCAACACAGGTACCGCAGAAATATTTAGCAATCAAAACAGCAGCGATTAGGTATAACATACGCAGGCGCTTTAAAAAGTTCACGGCAAACGCAAGGTCAGTTTGTTCTGGTGCCTCAAATTCCCAAATCCGTGTGTGCGTGTTTTACAGCTGTTAGTTTAGTTTACTGAAATCCTCAGGTCTCTTCCCTGCTGTGCCTCCCCCCATTACAAACAAGGTCCCCGCAGGGGTCTGGCTGCCACTTTCAGAACACACAACCTAATTCTCCTTACTGAGATACACAGGGAACAGATGACCCTTCTCCACGGGGTGCCTGTGCTCTGACCCCACTGAAACAGAGCTCTTAAGGGGACCAGATCTCTCCCTCCGGGCTCTACTCTCAAACACAGGCATCACGTCTGGGCAGCTTGGGCCCCTCACAGCGCTGCCCTGCAGCAAACCTAACACGGATGGACAGCGACTGAGAACCCACTCCAACTCCCAGAACCACACCTGCACTCGCCTTGCTAGATTTTCTTTTTTTATTTATTTGACAGGTAGAGTTATAGACAGTGAGAGTGAGAGAGAGTGAGAGAGAGAGAGAGAGAGAAAGGTCTTCCTTCCGTTGGTTCACTCCCCAAGTGGCTGCAACAGCCAATCCGAAGCCAGGAGCCAGGTGCTTCCTCCTGGGCTCCCATGGGGTGCAGGGCCCAAGCACTTGGGCCATCCTCCACTGCCCTCCTGGGCCACAGCAGAGAGCTGGACTGGAAAAGGAGCAACAGGGACTAGAACCGACACCCATATGGGATGCCGGTGCCACAGGCGGACGATTAACCAAGTGAATCATGGTGCCGGCCCCCACCTTGCTAGATTTTCAGGGCCATCCCTGTCTCCAAGAAGGGCTGCGAAGACCAAAGCAACGGGATGTGTCCACAGACTGTACTAGCATTCATCATCAGCATCAGCATTGTAAAGACCCCGTTTCCATTTCTCCAGTTTGAAGGCCCCACAGCGAGGTGGGGAGAGCCGCTCTGAGACTGGGCTGTTGACATGCCCAAGTGGGAACAAAGGCTGGTGTGTGGCAAACACAGCCGAACAAGGGCCAATGCACACACCACCTCTGAACCTCAGCTCAGCCTGGCCACCAACTGTAGGCCTCTTGTTTCTGGGACCAGGCAGCCAAAAGTTCTGGCTATAGCAGCATTTGCCGTAGTGACTAGAACACGGCTTCAGACACCCACATCCCATATCCGAGTGCCTGGGTTTGAATCCTGGCCCCACTCCCGATTCCGACTTCCTGCTGACATGAACCCTGGGGGGCAGCAGGTGATGCCCAAGTACTTGGGTTCCTGCCACCCGCATGCGAGACCTACACTGTTGTCTAGGCTCCAGGCTTTGGCTTGGCCCAGCTGTTCAGAACATTCGGAGAGTGAAGCAGCAGGTGGGACATCTGTCTGTCCACCTATCTCCTTTGCCTTTCAAATAATAAATAAAAGTTCAGAAGACTGCAAATCAAAACCTCTCTACAGCCTGCCAGTGAAAAGGAGAATCTGCAGGCCTTAGCAGGCATGCTCCTCAAACATTGCTTCCTGCATGACCCCCTCAGCCCTTCCTGGTACTCCAGCCAGAAGCCTAGGGGTGAAAGGCACTGTGCACTTCCCTGCCAATACGCCCACGATGTCGCAAAGGCCAGCTTCTTTGTGACGACCCAAATGCAGTCAGAATGACGCTCCACTTTCAGCGAGTGTTCAGAGCCCTCAGTAGCTCAGAGGAAACATCCTAAAACCGTTTCCAAGAAAAATGGGGTGGTGGGTACCAGGTCAACCTCACCGACCCCCATCTTCTCATCACGAGCTCCCTCCGCCCTGCTCCCTTCCCGCCACCCTGCTGGCTCATGGCTCCCTCATCTGCAGCGCGCATGATCAGGGCACCAGATGCTGCACATGTTGCTGTGCAAGAGCTGCCTCTCTGGCCAGCCCTATAGTCTATTCTTAGCCTCTGGTTACAAACCAGGCGCACTCTGGCTTGGGGGTTCTGGGCGACTGACCCCGGGTCGCGTGACAAAGCAGGCAGGGATGTGACAGCATGATTGCCCAGCAGACTCTCCCTTGACTCTATCCCTAGAGAGCCGTGGCTTGTGGGAGGCGTGCTTCTGGAAAAGTGTTGTTGCTGTTACCGTTTCACTTAGCCCCCCACAGGTGGCCCCTGCTGCATTCCCCACCGACATCCACCGACGCTCCTTCCTATGACCCAGGACTCTCCCTGAGCAGCCAGAAGCCAAGAGCAGCATCTGGAGTCTCTCATTCCCGAGCACAACTGGGTGAGGGCTCGCTGGAGGGGGAGAGGGTGTGCGGACAACACTCTGACCTAACGAGCGTGATTACCACAGAGCAGGGGGCCGAGAGGAATATCTGAGCTCAGGCTATTTCAACTGCCATTCTTACACTGCGATTAGTTTTCCAGAAGTTTCTTTTTGTTTGGGTTTTAATTCATCGCGCAGACACTGGAGCCCGGCAGTGGTTTCTGCATGTCTGCTGCTCACTCTGCAGTGGGAAGGAGGCGTCGCCCTGGCACAGCCCCGCCACCAGCACCAGGAGCCCCTGCAGCCGCACGCAGAGGTGCCGACAGTCATGGCGGCTCTGGTTTCTGCTCAGCAGTGGAGGGAACCACGGTCAGTACAGGGCACTCATTCACAGGAGGTGAGCAGGGCAGGGAACGGCCCTCCCCCAACGACAGCTTTCTGGGAAGCAGGCACCCTGTCACAGGCATGGATTTACACCACCGTGATAGAAACAAGTTGGGGGGAGGGGAGAGGAATAGAAATCTAAAGTACCAGACTCCAAAGAGAGTAATTTGAAGAGCATCCTCCTCTCCAATAGTTACAAACACATGATTTTAATATTTTTTCCCAGTATTCATCTGAGGAGGCTGCCTGCGTGCGTCATTATCTTCAATTTCAGAGCTTCTACCACCACAAGGTAATTCGCAGTACTTACCCAAGCCCACATAAGCAGCCATCTCTTACAATATTTTCTCACTGCTTTCAATGCTTGGCTATAAAATCCCAGATGCTCAGAGGCTTGGGACCCACGGGAATCCAGAACCAGAGACTCCTGTTTGTTCACTGTGCCTTAGAGCTAGTGGGTCGTGCCCTGGCAACTTCTACGCAGGCGTTATTTGTTTGGTCAGGCAGCATCTGGAGGACCGGGCTCACCTCTATGTGCTGGAACATGTACGGGTGATTGCAGATCTTCCTCAGCTGCATGATAGTGTTCATAAGCGTCTTCGCCCCGCCTTTCCCCTAAGAACAGGGCGAAGGGGAACAAGAGAACACATTACGAATGAATCAAGTATTTCCAATTTTTAAAGTATGGCGCACGGCTTTTCACAGAAATGATGTAGGGCCATAGGTCTGGGTAACCCACACACCGAGTGGCCCAAAGCTCCTGACATTATGTATCAGTTTCTGTGTTAGATCCAATTCTCTTGCTCGTAAGCAAGCCATTCCACAGGAACGGTGACCCTTAAGGAATGGTGTCAAGTTGATGGCTTTGGGGCCTGGCTGTCTGTTCTCTAGGATTCTGGATGACAGAAGCACAGAACAGACGCTCAGAAAGTGAGACCGGATTTGCCAACCTGGAGAGCCAGCCCACTCGGAGACACAATGCACTTCCTGTGGAATGAACAAGGGCAGCCCTAAGTCTTTGGCTAACAGGAACACACTCCTTCTTTCCCTGTGGCCCAAGGCAGTTAGGAGGTTTCCTAGGACAGCTACAACAGCTACTAAAAAATAAAAAATAAAAAAGTTCGGTGATTTAAGTCAACCCATTAAGACTGGTGAGGATGCTTCCTGGGAATCATCAACGTCACAGCCGGGGGAAGACCTCACGGCACGTTGAGCTGCGCCGTCCTCACCCACGTACCTTCTTGTCTTTCTCAGAGCCGTCTGTGAGGAGGATGCCCTTGGCTTGCATGTGACGATACAGAATCTTCTGCAGAGCCGACATGTCACACTTGATCACATACTCTACCTGGGGGAGAGAGAGCAGGGCAAGTGAGAGCAGGCGGGCAGTGCGTCTGTAACAGGAACACTGCAGACTTGTGGGTGCTGGGTGGGTCCTGGAAGCATGATGCTGTCCCTGGTTCCCCTTCTAGAACTCATGGACAGGTGGCGGGATGCTGTGTTGCAGACCGCAGTTATCACTGTTAGAGCTATGCTCAAAAGGTTACATGTCACTGAGGCCAGGGCCATGTTTCCCGACATTTCTTGACTCAGTTCCATACTGGAGAAAGTGGCTTACAAAATGTTTGGCACTGGGAGATTTTTAGTATTTTCTCTGCTTCCCAAATACACCACCTTTCATATGAACAGAACAAGTTCAGGAAAAACAGTGACTGGCTAATACCCTACCATTTTTTTTTCCTTTTGTAAACCATTTTTTAAACGGACACATGTGGCTAACCACCCTCAGTACTGTAAGACTGGTAATAGCTGTAGGTTGAATGTCATTAACTCTGCACTTCAGAAATGATAAGATGCGACCCAGTGAAGGCAACAGGTGGAGGAGAGGAGTTGATCCATAGCAGGACACAACTTTATGGCCATCCAAAGGAGGACAAGGCCTCCTGTGCTTGCATCAAAAAAGCACAAAAATCGCACTGACAAAGCGAATTCACATGCCCACGGTTTATCACAGACCTGCAGTGGGTTATTATACTCCAAATGCATAAAATCTGCTGTGATTACTCCTATGATTGTTCTTCTTTATTTAAAAAAAATCCCAAGAATATAAATGTGCAATTTTCATAACAGATATCAGATGACTGTCTAGAAACCTGCAGAATGTGATCCAAAATCAATCAGCAAGCTGCCTAATGTTTAATAAACTGATTAATGTGACTGGATTATTCGAGCTCTGAGGGCTGGAGAGAGGAGGTCACAGATGAGGAGGGAAGTTGAATATTCATTCAATTGTTGCTCCAGAAGTAAGCTGTTGGGTCAGAGGGAGCCACAGTTAATAGTCATCTGCCACCTGTTGGGATGTATCAAGTAACATTAGAGAAAGGCCTGCCCCTCAGCAGATTAAAATTAAAAAAAAAAAAAAAGGAACACCCCAACAACTTGCTTTAGTTTTCATGACCTTCTTGGCTAAGGAACAACAACAACAAAAAATCATCAAGTTTAACAAGCAAGTATGCGCTTTATAATTACACTTTGTGTTTAGAGCCCTCATCATGCTATTATGTTTAATGTACTTCTTTTTGTTTTGTAAAAAGTTTTCATTTACCTTTCCATTTATTGAAAAAAAAATCACATCTATTTAAGGAGCTCAATGGGATGTTTTTGATATAGAAATGCACCAGGAAATGATTACCACTATCCTACTTTTTCAAGAACTGTCAACTCATAATGAAATCTGATCACTGTGAAGAAAAATGTTAAACGACTTCATACTGTAACAAGCACGTTGATAAAAATGACACTGAGGGCTAACACGACTGAGCTCTCCCTGGGTGCCAGGCTCTGTACACAATACTTCACGTCCTTCTCTCATTAAACCCCCGTGAGGCCGAGAGGACACAGTCACACCTGCTCTCCTCATTTAACAGAGGAGGAATCGGTCATCAGGGAGGCCAAGGGATTGGCCCAAAGTGATCCATCTAGGCAAGGTGCACTGGGATTCACGAGTTCACTCTCAAACTCCACGCTGAGGATGGCCAAGGAGACTTTCAGTTCTGCCTGACACCCACCTTCACCTGGGCGGCCCCCCCACCCCCGCCGGCATCCTCACACCTTCCTCATCGTGGAAGGGATGGCCAATGGTTGTTCTATGTGCATCAGGGGATGGCAGTCACAGAATCAGCGACCCCACTTCTCGTCCACCAGCTCCGGCTGGGCACAAAGGAGTCGGGGAGGCAGAGGAAGGCAAGATGATGCCACGGAGACAGGACAGTGAGGCCCGGCCTTTGCAGAGTAGAGACGTTAGAGAGAGTGCTCCTGGGGGCTGACCACCACTCCTGGAAGGGGAAACACCTGGGGACTGCCCCCTTCCAGGATCAGGGGCAGAAGAAGCCGACTTGAGAGTCACCATCATTGCCAGCAGCTTCTCAAGTTTATTTTGCATTTGTTCCTGGAGGCGTTCCAAACAACTTCAAGTTCTTCTGTCTGTTTTGGGGCTTTTCCCCCGGGTCCAGGATGCCCCAGGTCTTAAGGTCTCCTTTCTGAGGCCCAGTGCACATTGAGGACTCTTGGCTACATTTTTCCCAACCACCTAGCAGCCAACACCAAATCTCCACTTGGGTTTCCCTTTAAGCAACTGGTCACGAAGCTCGTTCCATGGCATTCCCCGATTAGAGGGACAGGCTAAGCACCCACCTTCCCATCAGATGTCTCTGTATTTATGACTGATGTACACACACTCACACACAAGTACTTCAGAGAGTTAAAAGATAAATTACTTTTGGTGCAAAAAATTTTTTTGAAGTTTTTTTCACAATATATGTTTTCTATGGACTTCTCAAAGTGCTATGGTATTAATGTCTCAAGAAACAGCTTACTGCTAGGGGAAAGAACAGTGCTCTAGAAAGTTAATTCCTATCAGGTGTCAGTTTGACGGTTATCTTACACTTTGAGTCACCTGCAACCTGATCACCCAGATGGGGCAGATGCAAACCCACACAGCAAACGCAGGGCAGCCTTCTCTCCATTGTCCACCTATGCTTCTGCTACTTGTCTTCTTTTCCATCTGCACTCCTTTGCAGAAACTTTTTAAGCCTTTCTGGGGACCAGGGGTGTTAGTGCAGTTAAAAATCAGATCATATGAAATCCCCGTACCCGGCGCAAGGAAACTCGCAAAGCCCCACACTGGGCAAGAAGTGAATGAGCCCAACATGGAAGGTCAGTGGATGGTCAGATGCTCCTGGTGCTGGAGATCCCTGCTCAGACCACCCTGGGAGAACCTACACAGCCTGCCTCCTGCAGAGGATCGACATCCTGACATACACACGTGCACACGAGGACCAACGCCACACTGTATATGAAGTATCAACAAAGCTTATTTTTCAAAGAGAAAAATGCATACATATGGTTGCTGTGACATGTTTCTGTACCCCAGCTGGTTACCAGTAAGCACCCACACACACATACCCATAGATACTGGAGTCCCCTGCCCTAAAACACTTGATGGCCAGGGTCATTCATTCTGTGGGTTCAGATGCCAGAACCCCATTGCCATGCCAGTATTCAGAATGAGTAGACGGCACCTCCACAGCTAGTCAGCTGGCCTGTCACACCAATACCGCCTGCTTTGGGGTAACCCCTGCACCTGCCACCCAGTCTCAGTACAGGACAATGCACACAGCAGGCAAATGGTAGCTACGAATTGAGATAAGAGGCAGAATGAACTCTTCTAAGAGAGACATGCAGACTAACAGCAAGAAGGTGAGATTATTTGCTACAATAGTAGAGACAGAGGGCTGGCACTGTGGCATAGTGGGTAAAGCCGCTGCCTGCAAATCTGGTATCCCATATGGACACCGGTTCAAGTCCCGGCTGCTCTACTTCAAATCCAGCTCCCTGCTAATGGCCTGGGATACAAATGCTTAGGCTCCTGTCAGCTACCTGAGAGACCTGGAGGAAGCTCTTGGCTTTGGTCTGGGCCAGTCCTGGCTGCTGCTGCTATTGGGGGAGTGAACCGAGTGAACCAGAAGATGGAAGATGTCTCTCCCTGTCTCTAACTCTGCCTTTCAAATAAATAAAAATAATTATTTAAAAAAAAAAAACAGTGGGGACAACTTCAACTCTATTGGGTTGGAGTTTACCTCCAAAAAAATATGATGGCGCCCAACTGCAGCATGAATGTGAAAGTTTCTGTAGTTGGCAGAGCTAATCAATCTTTGACATCTTCACAGGAAGTCCCTCAATGACAGGCTTGTGAGGGCCACTGGAGCTATTTTTGTTTAAATTATTTGTAAAACTGAGGGGCCAACCCCTGAACATAACTATCTTCTAAGGATTCTTACATTTGTAAATGAACAAAATGGTCCCCTACAAGTAGGCAAACTGGGTGATAACACTGGCCCACGGTCTCTTACCACATAACCCTGTACAAGTGTTTGACTGGCTTTCACAATTTCTGCCCTGATTTCTGTGTTATTGAAACAATGCACCTAGACTTAGTGTGATATATTGTACTTTTTGAACTGAGATTTTATTGATTTTAAATTTTTATTATTTATTTGAAAAGTAGAGGGACACAGAGAAGACAGAGAATAGAGAGAGAAATGTACAAACACACACACACACACAGAGCGAGAGAGTGCAAGTGAGAGAGTGTGAGAGCGAATGCACATACATGCTCCCAAAGTTTTACTTTCAAAATTCCCACAATAGTTAAGACATGATCAGGCCAAAGCTCAGAGCCAGGAACCCAATCCAGGTCTCCCACATGGGTGGCAGGGACCCAATTACTTAAGCCATAATCTACAGCTGCCCAGGGTCTACAACAGCAGGAAGCTCCAGTCAGGAGCCAGAGATGGGACTCAAACCCAGGCACTCTAACAGTGGATGCAAGCATCCCACAGAATCTTTACCTGCTACACCACTCAACCCTGAAATGAAACATGATTCAATTTACAAAGTCTCAGGTTCTGGAGTTCATGGCATGAGAGGGAAACAAAGTAGTAATTAAACACTCTAAACATTTACATAATGAATATAGAACTTACCCATCTTGGGGCTGGCACTGTGGTCTAGTGGGTAAAGCTGCCACCTGCAGTGCTGGCATCTCATATGGGCACTGGTTCAAGCCCTGGCTGTTCCACTTCTCATCAAGCTCCCTACTACTGTACCTGAGAAAGCAGCAGCGGATGGCCCAAGTCCTCGGACCCCTGCACCCACGTGGGAGACCTGGAAGAAGCTCTAGGCTCCCAGGTTCAGATCCAGCCATTTTGGCTATCCAGGGAGTGAACCAGTGAACGAAAATTCTTTCTCTTCCCTTCTCTCTGTAACTCTTCCTTTCCACTAAATAAATCTTAGGGAAAAAAAAGTTACCCATCTTAACTAAGCTTTTTAAATGATTTATACAAATTATACCAAAACTGGGACTGATTTTAGGTAGGTCACCCTTTAGTTAACCTCACACAATGGACATGTACTTTAACACATTTAGGCATCAATACATAGAACTGTACAGATAACTGGCTGTTGAAGATAGCAAATAATAAAGGAGACAATTGGTGGGGATAACCTCAAAAGGGAGTTAAGTCAAAAGGTCAATTCTCACTTAAATTCAGTTTTTTATGGAAATCTTTACTGTGCATTACCATTCCTTCCTGAATATAAGGAATAGATTTTAAGACACTGGCAAGCTGGTAATGGTGGTGGTCACGGGGACACAGTACATTCCCTTGCTCACTAGGTGTTTCACTAGAATGCCACAAAACTAATTTTGCTATGCAGTAAAGCTGCACTTATCCAACTGTGGCCTCATCTGCCTGATCACGTTCACCTGAGAAAGAGAATGAACGTATGTTCAACATCACTAGATGTTAAACACACGCAAAATACCACTACGTCACTGTACATCTTACATCTACTAAAATGGCCAAACGTAATTAGGAGTAAATCTTGACAATACAAGTCCTGATAAGAAAGTGGAGGAACTGGACTGCTCACACGTCGCTGGTGGGACTACAGAGTGGTTCAGCCAGTTCAGAAAACCATCTCCAGTTTCGCATCAACTTATGTACACATTGGCCAAACAAGCAATCGTACTCCTAGGCGTTCACTCATGCCAAACAATACCCTGTATTCACACAAAACCCACACATGTGCACAAACACGCGTAGCAGCTCTACCCTGAGTCATCAAAAACCAGAAGTGACCCATGTGCCCAACTGAACAGGTAAGCTAACTGTAGTGCATAAGGATGAACCAACTACTGACACAAACAACTAGGAACAATCCCAAACAGGACACCAAGTGAGAGATTCAGACACAGAAAGTTACATAATGTGTGACTCCATTCATACAACGTTCTGGAAAAGACAAAGTCACATAGATGGGAAACAGATCAGAGGTCACACGAGGTTAAAGGGTTTGACTGAAATGGGCTAACAACAGGGAACTGTTAAGGAGGGGTGAGTGACAGAATTGTTCTGTATTTTGTTGTGGGTATGGTTAACATAACTATGTACTGGTCAAAACTCATACATCAAAAAAAGTGAACTTTATCATAGATGCATTTTAAAATAGAATCAAAAATGTTTCCTACTGATTCTTTTTCATAAAGACACTTGGGAATTAGCACTCTGGCCCCATGCAGCCTTTTCCTGCCCTCAGCTGTAATTTCTGGGTGTTTTACATGGCTTGAGTAAGTGCACAAGTTGTCTGTGGCTATAAGCATTTGGTGACAGAAAATACTTCCTTGCCCTCAAAGATGACGGTGAAATTTCCAACACTACCCTACCAAGGCAGAGAAGACAGAGGAGCCAAGACATATCACCAGCAGCTGCACACATGCACAGATGCATGCACACACGCACACACAGATGCATGCAAGCACACATGTACAGTGACCCCCAAATGCCATGAAGGTGTTTGGGACTCAGGTGTGGGAGAGCCACAGCATAGGCAGCAAGGACCAGAGTGTGGTGACACAGCCCTTGAAGCTAACGTGAAAGCGGGACTCCCAGGAGGAACAGCAGCAAACAGGGACTGCGTGGCCGTGGGGGTCACAGCGCAGGGCTCTCCCCACGGGCCTGGCCTTGTATTGTGAGCACCGCATCCGTCTCCTCCACGTAGCCACTCCAAGAGGCACACACTGACCTGCCGTTCTCCCATGAGAATGCCAAGACTCACTGGGCTTCAAGGACGTTCACCAAGACAGGGGGAAGGCAGTGGTGAGCCAGACCCACTGCGACGGGCAGAGCCCAAGATTTCCACTTACAGAGCTGCCCCCAGAAAAGGAGCCGAGGATACCTTTAAACCGAGGGACACCCACAAAGGTATCCCAGGATGGAATCGCAGACATAACACAATGCAAGTGTTTTCATACAGAAGACGTGCTTTTGATAATCTGAGGGTAGCTTTTTTTTTTTTTTAATTAAAGGTTAACATTGTTCCTGGGTACTCAGGCAGCTCTCTTGTAAAAAGAACCATACAATAGTTTTAAAAAGCAAATAATTTCTTGTGATATAATTCACCACCCGTAATCCTTATGCTGCTGAAGTTTGATTTTCTACGATGGATTTTCCTAAAGCATTGTTGATAAGGTTTCACCTGTAATGTGTTTTCTAAAATCTATCTCTGTCTCTGTCACTCTGCCTTGTACATGAATAAATCTTTAAAATAAAGATCCTGCTATGTCCGCCAGGCTCAGAGACGAATAAACAAGACTAGGACACCTTACGAGAGGCAGACAGCTCACCTAGCCAATAGGACACCTGTATCCTCCCCCATCACACTACCTGGGTTCCATTCCCAATTCCAGCTCCGGACTCCAGCTTCCCACTAATGCAAGCCTGGGAGGCAGCAGTGATGGATCAGGGGACTGAGTTCTGCCACTCACATTGGAAACCTGGCTTTGAGTTCCCGGTTCCTGGCTTTGGCCCCCCATATACAGCTGCTGCACGTATTTGGGGAGTGAACCAGCCAATGGGACCTCCCTGCCTGTTTGTCTCTCTCTTTTCAAAGTTCTAGGAAATAAGCAAATGACAGGCTTTAGTCAATTACCTTTATACTTCTTACAAAGGAAAAAAAAAAGATGCATGAGACAAAAGAAAAATCTTAATATTCCATTTCTAGGGCGTGCAGGGCTGCAGTAACAGTGCACTAGAGAGCAGTAAGGGGCCGGCACTATTGCTTGGTGGGTTAAGCTGCCAATTGTGGTGCCAACATTTCATACGGGCACCAGTTCGAGCCTCATCTGCTACACTTCTGATCCAGCTCCCTGCTAATGTACCTGGGAAAATAGTGGAAGATGGCCCAAGTCCTCAGGTCCCCACACCCCCGTGGGAGATCTGAAAGAAGCTCCTGGCTTCATCTAGGCCCAGTCCTGGCCATTGTGGCCATTTGCATAGTGAACCAGCAGATAGAAGATCTGTCTCTGCAATTGTCTTGCAAATAAAATAAATCTTTTTTAAAAAGGAAAAAAAGAAAATAGCTCAAGTAGCCATATGACCATTTTTAACCCACTCACCAGTTAATCTACCTAGACTACACTCCACCTTGAACATGAAAGATGTTACCCAAAGCCAAGACCATAGGAAGTACAGGGAATATCAACAGCATTCAAACCCTAAAATGAACTCACCAGGAAAATAAGCTTAAATACTTACTTTCACTGGAACAAGCACGGTATAGACTTACATTTTTAACCCTTTTTCCTATTAATGGACAGAGGACTAGGTAATAAAATTCTCTTTTAGCAAAGTGATCACTGCACACTATCTTGCCAACTCCCCCTAAAAAAAATGAGCAGGGTGAGCCAATCTGTCCAAAAACAGAGTCGATACCCAAAAAAACTAAAATCACGCAAAGTAAGACAATAGAGTTGGCTTCACACAAGGAAAAAAATTCAAACCAAGATCTCTTGTGCAACAAATAGTATGTGCTGCTAAACAATCTCTCCTTAAGAGGGTGAAAGTTAGAAGTCAAATGCACGTGGTTCCAAAAGATGATGAGAAACACATGAACTCCCTGAATTCATGGAGCCGAGGCTCAAAGGAAGCCGTGAGGCAGTGAGAACACAGTATCCAAAAAATACCCACTTAAAAGGTTCACAGCTTAACATGCACGGTGCAGGACAAAAACCATGTCCCAAAATAATTGCATGATGTGCCTGTAATTTGCAGGAACTCTATTTTTCCAATTAGCATCAGGATGGCGACATCATAGACATCAGCTACAGAATAAACTTCCGGGAAACCTGGCAAATGTTTAGTCTGCCCTCCACTCAAGACACAAGTCCCCAAAATCAAAATCCTCACTTGGGTCATGAGCAGAACAACTCTGCAAGTGCCTGCAACCGTGAGCTTGAGGCAGTCAGGAACTAAAACACAAGAATGGGGAGCTGGAAGGGAATGAGGCTCGACGAATCCAATAATTTTATAAAATTTGCTCAAAAGCTTTTGGAAATTAGGCTGACAAATGCTGAAACTTCCCTTCTCATTCTAGCTCTGTCCAGTGAAAAACAAGCACTTTAAGACACTTCCAAGGTAACCCTAACTGAAATTCGATCCCATGGCTTTAGAAGGCAAGTTCCTCAAGCCCAAGAGGTGTCTTCAAAAAGTTCAAGTTATGAAAAAACCATGTACGGACTTCAAAAAGATTTTTTTGCACCAAAATGAGCTTCTCTTAATTCAATGTTTCATATTTTTGAAGTAGCCTCATAATTTCAGGGAGGAAAAAACAAAAACACAAAAACCCAGGGCTTATTCAATTTGCAACCTACTTTTTCTGGAAGCTGGGATTCAACCTCTTTCTTCAGTCTCCTCAGTAAAAACGGCCTCAGCACCTTATGTAGACGCCGGATGATCAGTATAGTTTCTTCTTCATTCAAGTCCACCTGCAAGACAACCTTGCATGAATCTGATCTCCTTAAAGGGGTGTTTCAGGGAGGAAAGCATCGCGAGAGTATGCAGTGCTTTAACAGGCAGTTTTCCAGGCAGTGGGGCCAGGTGTGTGCCCATCAGACGCCCCTGGGAAGTCTCTTCCCACATGCCTCACCCACCTCGAAACGCCTGTCTGCATCTCAAAGCTGAGTTCCGCACCCAAGGCCCAAGAGGCCGCCGGTTCTCGGCCAGATTTGATAAAGTCACGCATGATTTTATGAGCCACTGAGGCTAGATGAAGACCGCGCTAGACAGCTAACGTGTTCAAAGCCTCGTTAGGCCCCGTCAGGCTGGCCGTCTCATAAGGGCGTGAACATGAAAGAAGCAACACAGGCAGACACAGCTGATGCTGCTGAGCCTCTAGGTCCCTTGGCGTTGCTCAAGTTCCCTCCCCCGTGCAAAATCCGCTTTCTCTCTCACCTTCCTCTCTCAGCCTCTAGGGGGCAGAGTTGATCGGCACGACCTCCCACAACCGGGCAAGCCAGTTAATTAACTGCGGAGGAACAGCCAATGTGCCTAGGAGGTACCTCAAGATTAAAGGGCCAAACAGTTCAAACACAAGTTTTCCTCAAGCGTCCTCAGTGGTTTTTCATCCCTCTAATCCAAATGACGCGTGCCCGTTTCTTGTCTTGCAATGGCCCATGTCTCTTAAGAGGAGACAGCTGAGGGAGTAATACCCATCCATTTGAAAATGGCTGCCCCTGCAGCTGAGCAGTGTTCCTGCGCATGTGCAAACCTGGGGCACAGACTAACACTGGACAAACAAGTATACAGGCAGTTAGCGTAAACTCGTTCTGCTCCGTTATACCAACTCCTCTCGAGGAAGTCTCTGAAAGGCAAGCCCGAGTTTCTAACAAGGGAAGCTGTGTTTAAGGCCTGTATTCGGTTCATCACGTTGGTCTGTGCCATTTCTCCAAGAAACGTCTGCGTGCTCAGCCTCCCCGGGAACCTCCCCCGGCCAGGAACATTCTCTGGTAGCCTGGCATGTTAGCCAAAGCAAAAGGACTTAGGAGGCCCCGCTTGCCGCGAGCTGAGGCCGGGGCTGTGGCCCCGGGCTGAGACCACATCCACCCACTGAGCAGCTTCAAAAGGCCCCAGACATCCTAACGCACCCTGCGGGATTTCTCTGCCTCTCGTGTTGCCAGCCCGGGGCTCTTTCATGTCATTTCATTGTCATGCAGTGGAAACAACCAAATTGAGACCAGTACCCTTTCGCCAGTCATGGCAAATGGAGCATTAAACCACTGTTCGAATGTGCTGCAACTCTTAAAAATTGTGGGGAGGAGGAAGTTGAGGAGAGCCCAGAGTTCGGGGAGCTTATTCTGTAGCGGGGTGCCGGTCAAGAGGATCCTTCTGGGGGCCACGTAGTGGGTATTCAAGACTTGGGTCAGCTTGCAGTGGTGGTTCTTCATCCGGTGGCCTTCGTCCACGATCATGTATTTCCACCGAATCTGCAACACAACAGAAGGACCCATGTGCGGTGAGCCAGGGGAGAACAGAACCCCCTGCAACAGGCAAGTGGGAGGCAGGAAGCCGGAGGCACGCTTGGTCCCTTGGTCCGTGATACGGCGTGACCCTCCTTCATACAAAGCAATCTCCAGCAGCTGACCATCCCCCACGATGGACAGAGCGTGTCAAACACCACGTCCCAATGGAAGGTTCCTCTGGTGCTCAGGGGCCATGCGATCCCAAATCATCTTGAATGAAATGGCTGGCCCTATATCTAGATCTCCTCTCTCCCCATCTGCTGCTCCATGACAGTGTAGACATACGACATATGTAGCCCAGATTTCATGGTCACGCCACCTCAGCCCATGTACAGAGCACGGATCCCCCCTTGAAGCATCAGTTAATGAGAGAGTCTCCCGAAACGGCACTAGCAGACATCGATAGCTTATGTGGTCTTAGTTCCATGCCTTCATCTCTACTAGCCTGGCTAGTTACTACCCTTAAGAATTTGGCTCAGCGTTTTGTTTAACCCGGTTGTGAACACTGCAACGTTGAAATTTTTCACACAAAAATCTGGACATTCAGCATTTTTTACCAAATTGAGATCTGGCCAGCGAGCTACTCAGTTCCTTCACACTGCTTCTCCAACTGGTCTAAGACGGCTGCTGTATCTGAGATGAAAGGAAACACGCCCTGGCAGAGGGGGCAATGCAAAACCTCATTCCTGCACTGACGCCAACACTGAAGAACAAACACAACCGGATCCCCACGCACGACCATCGCTTTAAAAGCCAGGAATGCTTACCCGGCACGAGCCTCCCTCCCAGGGCCACACAGCCCCTCTCCCTCTCTTACACCTTCACCTTCAACCCTTGCTCAGACCACTGTGGAGTTTCTTCGGTGGGAACAATGAGGAATGTTCCACTCGGCCCATCCATTCCCTACAAAACAGTGGCAGTAGCCAAGAAAAGCATCTGGCACTCAGATGTCCCTGGATCCTCCTGCAAAGCTCTTAGCGAGAAGAGGCAGACAGCAAAGCAGTCCACACAGCCCTCGCCCTCCTCATTAGACGCACCGGGAATGCCAGGGGCAAGAGACGGGAACCAGCAGTCAGGTGGGGAGGCACAGGTAAAAGAAACCACCCGAATTTTTTTTTTTTCAGTCCTCTACAACCTCTGAAAAAGCGTTTTAAGAATAATTACAATTGTACGACCCGTTGCCCCAAACTCACCAACAGCATGCAAAGAGGCTGGCAGACAAAACTGGTTTTAAAGAAATATTCTCAATCTACTTTCCTGACTGATTTAGTTTATGAAATAATAAACAAGGCAGCAGAGGCCTTTGATTTTGCTATTGGGTCTACTCCTAATTAGGCCTTCTACTTGGAGAAAAAAAATTATTCCCCTCTTCTGAAGCCCTACTTCTCCAGTAACAAATAAAAGCAGTGCATCTCGTTACCAGGCGTCTCCGATGAATTTGAAATACGTATGCACCAGTCATGATTGAATCCTTCTAAAAGGATCTCAGGCGTACAAACACATTCATTCCCACAGAAATGCTGAAAACACATCATTTTTGACACCGCCAACTTCCTGAGGACTGGGAACAGCACTGCTGCCTGTGCCGTCTCACTGATTAAACTTCCCCTGGGAGGGCATATTTCCTTTAGGCCATTTCCTGGGATGCCACGGAGGGCACTCTCAGGGCCCAGGGCGAAGGTTTAACTCAGAGGCTGAACAAAACCCTGAAACAGGACTTCTGTGCCACTCTGGCCATAACTTAGTTCCAGATTATGGTGCTTTCCAGGGAACACCAAGGGCTGAAAGAATGACTGTGGGGGGAAAAACAGTAAGTTTTCATTATCTGTTCCAGGAAAAGACGGTACATGGACATACCAGGAGACAAGATGACATTAATGCAAAACAAATCTATTTTGCAGCTAAAGGACAATTAGGGACACACAAATTAGGAGACATGAAAGTGACAGAAATAACTCCTTACGAGCTCCAAATAAACAGTCATAGAGACAGCCTGGAGAAATGTGAACAAGGCTGGGCCCATGATTAATCTGGGACCACACCAAAGCCACCACAGCCACAGCTCAGGGGAGTGTTCACACAGAAGAGGCCAAGCGGAAATGTGCCTCCTCGTCTTTGCAGAGACACAGGCATGAGAGGAATGAACTTATGTGGACAATAACCCAGGGCCACGAAAACAATGATTTCTTTCCGGAGCACGTTCAGCGCCGTTGCAGAAAGAAGCCAGATGAGCTTATAAAAAAGATGTAAACTCATTAACTAAGAGAAGACAGTTACAAGTCCCAGGATCAGTCACGCACGCACGCACATGCACGCACGCACACACGCGTGCACACCAGTGTGCATAAAATTAAAATGCAAGACCAAAATATATCGGACTTTTTAGGGGCAAATAAGAAAGACACATGCCACCTAAGGATAAAATTATTCTACTGAGGGTAATTTGGGAATACTGTGCACTCCAGTGTGATAGTCCACAATTGCACGTGGAAGAATTTTTTTTTTTTTTTTAAGAAAAACATACCTTTGCGAGAATGTGCTTGTCTTTTATAATGTACTCGTAAGTAGTCAGGAGGACATTGAATTTGCCACTCCGCAGCTGGGGCACAAGAGAGCGACGCATGGCAGGGGTGCCCTGGAAAGGAAGAAAAACACAACCCTCAGGCTGGGCGGAAGGACACGTGCGCTCTTTCCCCTCTGCCTCGCAATGCTCACTGCCTAAGGGAGCCCAGACCTGAGCCCGAGGCGTGCCCACACACGCACGGTCTGCGCTGACCCCTTAACCAGCAACAAAGTCTGGGCCAACTCCTGTGTGTCTTGACGCCTTGCAGACCCTAACAGAAAGGTTTTCCCGCTCGAGACTGAGGGAGGGAAAGGAGACAAGGAAATCACGGTGACCTGGTCGGAGCAGAGAACCCGCGCGGCTCGGCTGAGAAGCTCCGAGCCCTCAGGAGCGGGCGGCAGGCAGCCCGGGCGGCAGTAATTGCCTGGCGCTGCGGGCACAGCCGGCCCCGGAGCAGCCCGCGGCGAGCCCATGAGCAGCGCGCAGAATGTGCGGTATTTGTCATTTGTATTACTCTCATCAGAAACCTCGCAATATGATAATTAACAATTTTCTTCTGCATTTCACTATCTGAAAGTAATTATGGTTTATTACAGTAATCTTCTTGGGATGATTAACTCTCACTGTTTAGTACATGATGTACATGACAAAACTTTACAACCAAATACAGTTCACAGATGTGCATATGGAATGAAGAAAATCGGGGCTATTTTTTGCATTTCCACATTTATATATAAAGACAGCATTCCAAACCTTGTAAGAAATTTTCACCACAGAAGGAGCCCATTTGTCAAATTCATATGTCCAGTTAGATAGAGTCCTACAGAACAACAAAAAAAAGACATTTGTACAAAATTCAGTGGTTACAAAGATGTTCTTTTTCATTTTCAGGCCTCACCTTAAGAGGGGCTAGGGAACATAAAATAAGATCTCAACTACATATTTATTCTAAAGGTGTGGATATAAGATAAGTTAGAAATAAGCTACCACAAAGGCTGGCAAGTTTGTCCATGGAGCATAAAAAAAAACCTCATAAGAAAAAAAAATATTGAAGAATACATAAACATAGCAAAAATCTACATGTTAATAAGGTTCTGAAAATCATATTGCCAGGGTGATTTTGAGAATCTTTAGAAACAGCCATAGAAGCTGAGAAAAATTGAGTCAGGAAAAACGAATTACAAAACCACATGAAAATGTTAAATAAATCTGTCAAAAGGAAGCAGGGGAAGAAATGATTGACTTAAAAAAAAAAACCTGGAAGTGTCACCATAGTATATTAGTCAGAACATGGAAAACACAGATAAAATGCAAAGAAAGTCTAAATACTATGGACACAGACAATTCGTAGAACAAGGTCTGCAAATAGTCATTTAGACAAAATCTGCAGAAAATACAAAAATAGAACAACACTTATTCTTACACCAAGGGCAAGTTCATATCAGCACTGAGATCCGTTATGACATCTCAGGGAATAAAGCTGCAGCCTTGACACCCACAGCCATACACGCTGTACTACCAAGTAGAGTGGGGAGTGAGCAGTTCTTCTCTGCCACAAGCCCACGAGAAACCACCCAGGGCAGAAAGCACCAGAATGCAACAGTGCTGTCCCATCCAATGCAGAGAAATCATGGAAACACTGAGGTTTTTTTGTTCAATGCAAAATTCATAGTCAGGATTTTGATTTCAGTTCTGCTTTAAAAAATACAAAAAGGGAAGACTTAAGAACACGTGACCTCTTAATTATGTATATATGTATGTATGCATATAACTTTTTGTAAATGGAACAAGGGAAAAGCAAGGAAACCTTTTAAACACACACACCCCTCTTTCCCCTTTGCGTGTCATTACGAAACGACAGTGAGACTCACCATGCAGTGTATAGACCCTGCTGCTAATGGGTCCTGTGCTTAAAGAACCCATCAAAGAGGCTGGGTGGGGTGGGGCAGGAAATGAACATCTAAATCCAGGTGACACGACTCTGATCAGACTACATACAGCATGCTACAATTCTACCCTCGGTGAAAGACAAGGACGAGCTCCTAACAGTACGATCTACAACGCACACGACGGCGACTGCAGGATAAATGACTTTACTTACGAAAGGGGAACGATGATGAGATAGGGGCCATTGAGTCGTTTGTGCTCCATCAGGTACGTGATGAGTGCAATGGTCTGTATGGTCTTTCCTAGCCCCATTTCATCAGCTAAGATTCCGTTCAGATTGTTATTATACAGGGAAACCATCCATTCCAGGCCCTGCAGCTGAAATGAAGAGTAATTGCTTCAATTAGCCAAGATGTGCACAGGTAATTAATACTAATACAACTCAAGTGAGGCTGTGACTTCGTAACTCCTCGGTGCTGTGTGTCAGGCTTCCCACAGTCGGCAAGTGGAGGAAGCACCAAGGCAAAGAGAATATCCAGTCTGAGCCTGTTATCGTCCCTGCTGCTGGGCAGGTGCTGAGTGTTAATCAGATTTAGACGTGATGGGATGCAGCATACTGGTGGGACTGTAAGCGGCTTTGCTGCTCATCCCTGCTTAGCATTTCACAGGATCTAACATTCTAGATTCATTACAAATGAAGCAAACCCAAACCCAAACCCAGTCCAACCACTCCAACCACAAAGAGCCAATGGGAGGATTACAGGGAAAGCAGAAGGCGGGCTGGGCACAGAGATCCCAGATCATCAGAAACAGTCATCCGGGTGATGCAGAGGCTACCCCAGGGTGGGATCCCTCTGGTGAGGAAGCGGGGAGACAAGGGAGTCAGGGCCACCGTGCTGGACCACAGGAGGACATTTCTGTTGCTGGAAGACAGGAAGTTCCCAGACAGCACTGGGAACCTTGCACTGTGAGGACGCCCTAAAAGCAGCACGCTGAAGCTCACTGCCTGCACACAGGCTCAACGCCTGTTCAAAGTACGAACGTCATGCACCAGAGTCACTTTTGGATTCCCCCACACCAAGTACAGAGTAAAGGCTGGGTGAAAATTGAAAAGTGTTATCTCCTTCCCCCAAACACCAATCCTCTTCCACCACCACACCACACATGCTCGGCTGAAGTAGTGGAAATAACCACAGAGGCGAAGAGGGGTGGGCGAGAGAAGCTGTCTGCCTGCCTGCAACGCAACCCTGAGGCCACCAGATCTTGAGCAAAGCCAACTAAATGCCAAAACATTCAGCCAGGCCGTGGGAGTGGAGCCTCCTTACTTCTTTTAATGAAAATGGGGAAAAGGCAAAATTCTGTGTCTGTGTTAAGCTCATTTGAAACACCAGCAGAAACAAGCCGTAGAAGGGCCTAGAAATTCACCAGCACCGTGGGAAGTGATCTGGACTTTGTCCAGGCTGTGGAACTGGGCGACTGAAGGCAGCTATGTCTTGAACCAGGCTCATTATGTGGCTCTCCAGGAAGCAGCATGAAGGCTTCAGCTAGGTCAAGGTTAAATAGAGAGACGACACAAACATGTCTCAAGGAGCACAAAGACAAAGCTGAGCTTACTCAAAGGGTGCTCTGGAGACGCCTGGGGATCTTGCAAGACCATTTCAGGAGGATGCACAGAGTACAAAGAGTGGCCATTACCTGTCATTCTTACTGTGATGACATCAGCACTGGTGACGCCAAGGCGATGGTGACTGCAGACCGCTGCCCCCTTAGCACAAAGGCAGCAGGCACCAGCAGCCACGGTCTTCCTCACTCCCGTGCTATGGCTGCAAGCACGGCGCCCAGTTATAGGAGCGGATGGGACCTGAGTTCAGAAAGATCGAGTGCCGACGCCCTGGAGCGTGCGCGTCCTAACGTGGATTCCAGGTGCCACTGGTTTCACAGGACGGTAATAGGTGATAAATGAGAACTGGGCGTGATGGTCAAAGAAGCCTGGGAAACTGGACATTAGGCCACGGTAGGCAGGGCATCTAACTGGAGGAGGCCGCCGTGCACTAGGGACCGTACATTCACTTTTGCAGTCTTTGGTGTGCTGATGTGCACTACAGACAATCAGGTTCACTGCCAGACTGGCTTCACATCTTGCTGGCTTGGGTGGCCTAGGGTTATGCCTAGTCCCATCAATAAGAGCCCTTACTCACTCATAAAAGTACCCGAGTTTAGAACACAAACTATACGACAATCCTAGTTACAGCGCACAGTATTTCCCATACTTGAGACCTGGCTACAAAACCTTCTTAATTGTGGTTAGTTTTAAAGGAACAACTGCTGGCACAAGGCCCCCCAAAGGAACATACTCTGGGAAATACTACAAAGTAGAAGGATGCAGAAGATGGGCGTGGACCCCAATATAGACAGGTTAGATGAAACACCTGGTACCCAGATGAAACAGCCTGATATTTACCAAAGTACAGTTGCTTACTACTTTATTGTGCCCTAAACACACATTAACGCCCACACCCAGCATGAACATAGTACATAGATGCTGGGTAGTTACACCCACAGCACGAAACTACAGCAACAACAGAAACACTCCATTTCCTTTGAGAAGAAGTGCATTCAGAAGAGACCCACAGGCAAACTGTTCCAAACATGAAGCCAGTGTCTTATCAAAGAGAGAGCTGGGAGGGCGCGCCCCAGGAGAGACGGTGCCATGGAAGTCCTCTCAAAGAAGAACTACAGGCCCACTGGGGAGATCTCCGTCTCATAGGTGACGGGACCTGAGACGTCGTACCGTGCTCAAAACCTCTCAAGCCGTCGGCACGGGCAAGACAGACCCCAGCTCAAATCAGCAAGATGATGACTTGCCCAGTGGATCCCCAAGGCCAATTACCTGGTAATGCTTTAGGGTCCCGTTGATGAGGAGGGCGGACTGCTTCTCCACCCTCTCCGAGATGGCGTGGGCCACGGTGTAGTAGGACTGGGACCCTCTGGCACTGTACTGCATACTGTACTCATCATCCACGTCTTGCTTGGCTGTCCTGAGAAAGACAAAGTCAACACTCACACGCAGACGTCTGGGTGTATGCGTCGGCCTATCTCATCCACGCAATGAACTGAGAGCCCAAGACAGCAGCAATATGTACAGTTCTGTGCCTGCTACGTGCTCTGCAGTGAAAATACACGACCTGTAAGCCTCACAAAAACCAAGTAGGGCACGCGCTACTCTTCTCACCCCCGTTTTATGCACACAGAACACTTGAGGCCCAGAGAGATGACTTCATTTGCCCAAGCCACATACAAGGTAGTGAAACCAGGCAGGTGCCCTGATCTCCAAAGACCGGCTGGAGCCTGAACCCAGCACCTGCAGGTTAACACTCTGCCGGTGAAGCTGTCAAGGCTCTCAGGATACAAAGCCTGTTCATGGAACGCTGGCTCAGGCTGGCAGGACAAGGTGGGAGAGGGCCGAAGGCAACACTAAGGAGGTAGAAGAAAAGACAGGCAGCCTTCCACCCTCAATGCCTTGTTAACCAGCTAGTAGTTTATTCTACAGCATCGAGGACACACTGACAGGTTTCTCTAAGACCTTCAGTGAAGAAAGGGGGCAGGCAAGTAAAACAAAGGTGTCTAAACTGGCACAGAGTTCCATGGAATAAAAGGAGAAAATACTAGGATGTTCACTTTGGCTATTTAAAAAACAAAATCTCATCTTTTACAATTTTCTCTTCTGTGCATCTTTTCACAACACTTTTCTCTGAATAGCAGAGCCACACAAGCAAAGGGATGTGCACACCACTGACACAAGGGGATGGGGCGAGTGTGGAGCTGCAATGGTCAGAAGGAGGGAGGTGGCAGGTGCAGGGATGCGGCCGGGGCAGCAAGGATGGAGACAGGTGTGCTGTGTCCCGCTTGGGCTTCTGGGTCAGCACTGGTGTCGTTAAGGGAGATGAGACCACAATGCAGTGAAGAGGCCAGTTGGGGGGAAGGGGTTGACTAGTTCATTCTGACAGGGAAGTCAGACAGCAGGTGTGAAGCCCAGGACGGAGCCTGAGCTGCCAGAGGGGAGCCAGGAGGGAGAGGACGGAAGAGATGGGGCCAGAAGACAGGAAGGGATGATAGAAGTTAGGAAGCTAGGGAGGGGAGGAAGGGAAGAAGGACCAAAGGAATAAAAGAAGGGAGGGAGGAGAGAGAGAGAGATGTCAAAGAGGAACGGGAAGAAGGGAGGGGGCGATGGGGAGCTGGAAGCCCTACCACCCAGGGGGACCGGACCGGGGGCTGACGGTGGCCTCTGAGGGCACACGGCTCCCAGCAGAGTGTGGGCATGAGGTGGGCTCCCGTCACAAAAGCCAGCTTTCTGGAGGAGCATCCCCACGGCACAGTCTTCACACCGCACATGCCCAAGGGCGGCGAGCCCGAGGTACGCACTCAATGATCTGCTTGGCATCCTTCTCAGAGACTTCCTCGCTGTTGGGATCCAGAAGTATCTTCTCTTCCGTTTCCTGCCTACTGGACTCTTCCTCCTCATCCTGGGCAAGGAACAGAGACACGAGAAAAGGACATCTTAGCCAGCGAATTGCTGTAGCTGGCATTTGCAGAAAAGGGATTCAGTATCGTTCTGCTTCACAAACGAAGCAAGTAAACAGAACTCAGGGAGCAGGCGGGCCAAATGCCTGCATAACCAAACCGCACACCATCAGGCTGATTCAGTCCCTGACGGAGGGAAGAGAGGAACTCACTGGGGATCCCCTGCTCCCTAGAATGAAGACGTAAGCACCAGGCCAGCATGAGGAGTACCTGCCACACTGGGTTATCCAAGAGTCCAGTCACCCGCCCCTGATCTCACTTCCTTGGAACAATTCTGCAGCTCCTTCTCCAAAGCCACACTTCAGAGACCTGAGCATCCTCCCTCGCACACAAACGCCCACTGTGACAACACCCGTGGGACTGTGTCCCCACGTGTGTCCACTGTGAAGGAACTGGAGCTTTTGAGCCTGCTGCCATCTATAGCCGAGGCACACTACACGTGCGTGTATGCACATAAAAACTGTCAATTACTGGGCGAAGGATTCCGCACCTGCGCAGCCCTCTGCGTTCGGTCACACCAGTGTAACAGTGTCACTAAAATATTCATCACGACCACTCCTAACCTGCTGTTGAAGACTACATTTTCCCAGATAATCCAGCAGAATTCCCTTTATAAGCAGGTGCGAAGGGAGTCTTTCTTTGCCGAAACTCGTGGGTGAAAAAGTATGAATGGACACAACCTCAAGGCTAAGGTCAAACCTGCGGTCACAGGCCACTGAGCAGCGGGCAGGATGCTGAGGACTCGGCATGGCCCCTTCATCTTCCAGCTGAGGAGATGAAATCCTGAGAGGGGACGTCACTAGGTCCAAGTCACTTGTCACTCACATGGGTCCCAAGGTCAGAGCTGATCTCTTCCCAGCTCTCCAGAGCTCTCTGTGGCTGTCAGGCTCAGGCTGGCATCTGCTGGTCACATGGCCTGCTTTATCTTATCTCTGCTCCTCTCTGGCTCTCCTACTCAAAGGCAAAATTCTTCCAGTGGATCATTTACTGGCCCACTCATGCCAGTAAACAGGACACACTGCAACACCAATTCTCCAACTTAACTATCTCCGAGAAATAGAAGTAGCTGGAAAAACATGAGTATGCCCCAAAAAGTATTTGCCTTTTAATGGCTGTTCAGTTTGCTAATGTCAATTTTATTCTTTCTCCTATTTACCAAAGCAGTAAGTGCACATGGTAAATTAATTTAGAAAACACAGATCCAAGAAACAGAAGGAAAACAGTAATTGTCTTAAGATCCTCTTAAGCTATTCTCAGTAAGGTTATTTTATCTGGTCCTTGGCATCTATGGCATGGCACTCTGGGCTGGCAAACAACATACTTAGCAATCACTTATTAACAATGCCCTAATAAAGGAGACCAAATCTTCTTTTACCCCTTCTACTTGTAAGTAATCATTGCAGTTGATCTTGCAAATACCTGTACCCTTTCTTAACTGAAAATAACCAACGTATGCTTCTAGATACATTCCTTTCAGGACAGTGAGAAAGTGCTTCTTATTAGGTAACAAGTATGTCCCAGGAATTCAAATGAGAATCACAAAATCCAGAGGGGATTGGGGCTGGCACTGTGGTGTAGTGGGTAAAGCCGCCGCCTACAGTGCCGGCATCCCATATGGGCGCTGGTTCAAGACCCGGCTGCTCTACTTCTAATCAAGCTCTCTGCTATGGCCTGGAAAAGCAGTGGAAGAGGGCCCAAGTCCTTGGGCTCCTGCACCCAGGTGGGAGACCCCGAAGAAGTTCCTGGCTCCTGACTTCAGATTGGCCTGGCTCTGGCCATTGCAGCCATCTGGGGAGTGAACCATTAGATGGAAGACCTTTCTCTCTCTCTGCCTCTCCTTCTCTCTCTATGTAACTCTTTCAAATAAATAAATCTTAAAAAAAAAAAAGAAAGAAAAAAGAAAAGAAAATCCAGAGAGGATCAATAAACTCATTAAGCCAGGTCCATGCTGCCCTTTGGTCCAAGTTCCAAAACTTACAGCTCCATATAGATTGTCAGGACTAAAGGACTTGAGAAATGTTGAGGCAGCTCATGCTCAGGGTGGACCACTCGGAGGCACTGGGTCGCCTTCCTCCAAGTTTCCCATTTCTGCTTCTCCCTGAAAAACCTTTCCTCCATCTCCAACCTGATGCCAGCTTCTCTTTTGATGGTGCCAAAGGAATTTAAAATTCACATTGTTCCGCCCATAGACAGCCGCCCCCAAGAGATTACTGTATCACTAGGCAAGCACCATCGGAGCTGTTGCAAACCCTTAGCCCAGTTGTTACCCGAAGGCTAACCCTGGAGGCAGAAGAGACAGAAGAGCACATGGGCTGTGCCTACACTGTGGAAGAAGTTTCTCCCCCCCCCCAACTTCCAAACCTACCACCCCCAACAGAGACACAAACATACCTCCTCCTCGTAATCGGAATCACTCTCTTCACTGTCAGATCTCGGGGCCACTTCGTAACTAAGGGAGAGGTGGGACAGAGCAGGTGGATTAGCTCTTTAGATTTTAAGACAATAAATGCATATGACTTAACTAGCGCGTTCCATACACAAAGGACAAGTACTGATAACTGCTCGAGTTTCAAGATTTTGCAAGGCCTGTGCCGATCGCAGAAGCCACAAGCGCACCAGTAATGCTGCTTTCTTGCCATACCCAGGATTCATCTCCAACCAGGCGTCCAGCTGACTCGCTTTGGGTGCTTCTGGTCCAAACAGGACCTTGCCGGTTTCCGTGTGCGTCACTTTGACGGGGAGGTCGCTCATCTGACTGCTCTCATCTATTGGCTAGAAAGCAGGGGGAAAAAGAAAATCACGTCACTGCTGGACGTGAAGACGTCTGCCCAGTCCTGTGCTGGACATTTCTGAGCCTCTAGGCTGTCTCATGGCTGAAACCCTTTGTGTGTGTGTGTGTGTGTGTGTGTGTTTGGAAATCACACTACTCAATGAGTCTTGGTGAGAAGAGAAAGAAACAGAAATTGCCAGCCTCTTTTTCCAACAAAGATACAGGCATAAGACCTGGGCTCTACCAACCGGCTGCACTCACCCAGGCTCTGAGTCAGCAGCCAGGAGGTCAGTGGAATGGAGCCCAACAGGCACACTGGTGGAAGGGTAGACCACGTCAGTCTGTTGTAGTAGCCATCCCAGCGAAGCAGCACTGGCTGTGCCAAGTGCTTGCCTGCTCCAAACAGCAACCAGGCCTCCTCACTGTACAAGTTGTACTCTATCGCTGGGGATGGCCCCGGGACCAGTTCTGCAGTACTCCTGGAGATCCGGTGAGTTATCCAATATCATATTACAGGCTGAGCATCCTTAGTTCCAAAACATGATATCCAAAGTGCTCCAAAATCTGAGAATTTCTGAACATGAACATGACTCCATACATGGAAAATTCTATACCTGACCTCATGTCTTGAGTCTCAGTTAAAAGGCAGGCACATTAAAAATATAACATAAAAAATTACCTTCAGGCTATGTGTATAAGGTATATATGAAACACAACTGAATTTTGTGTTCAGACTGGAATCCCATCCCAAGATATCTCATTATATACATGCAAATATTCCAAAACAATAAAAAAAATCAGAAATCCCAAAACACCTTTGGTCCTAAGCACATAAAATAAAGAGATATTCAATCCATAATATATTCTCTTCTTACTTAAATCAGGCAGAACTGATTTTAGTCACTTGCAACTAACAAGTCCCAATCCGTAAATTAACACTCCCCAGATAATTACTGCAAAGTCATAGCTTCAGCAAGAGCGGAGAAAGGAAACAATATGACAGCCCGCATCATTCCCTGAGGGGCTGATTTGGCTTCTGCAGAGCTGTGTCCTTTATCCAAAACCAAGCCCCCAGGTATCACTCTCCCAGTGGCACCTGTGAGTCTGAGAAGGAAAAGGGCCCCATTCATCAGAAACCCAACAAATTGGCCCAGACTGAGCTGAAGTTCATTACTAGACTCTACGCAAGATGACTTGCTTGGAAAATTAAGAGAATAAATGAAATTGCAGAGGTTGTATTAACCTACTTCAGAGAACAAATTGTCTTCAAAGGCCTCAAACCGGAGCAGTCCTATGCAAATGAATGCTACTGATTACAGGGTGAGTAACTTCTAGGAGCAGACCGCCTGGTAAAATGTTTGCTTGGAAATACTCAATTTGTGAGCAGCTTCGAGTTATCTATCTCCTGAAAAGTAGCAACATGGAAGATTTGAACAATTCATTAATTTCAAAGAAATTTTCCTACATTACTCCTAATTGGTTTTGTGGTAAAATAAATACAGGAAACACTATCAGCTGTAACTAGGATTGCCATATAATTCACTATTCAATTAAGCAAAAGTGATAAAAAAAAAAAAGAAGGAATGCTATAGGTTATCTTCTGTATCTCACAGGAAAGGACCAAAAAAACAAAATCAAAACTCCAGTGATTCTTTCCTCCACTCCCCCAACAAAGCACAACCAGCGAAAGACACAAGATATTAACAATTATCCACAAAAATGACCTTAACAAAAGAAAAGGCTTCCCCTGTCTCTTCTTTTTCTTGTAGGTGTGCTAAAGTGATGGCTTCCAACAGTGTCCCCTGGCATGAGAATGTGATGCTTCTTCCTTGTGAATACACAAGGTCACGTACACACCCACAAGATAAAGAACAAAACCTGCCACTCGCTCTTGTCTCCTTCAGAAAAATCATACTGCGCTACCTAGGACTATGATAAGACGGCTTGTTTCACTGCCTACGTCATGCCTCAAAGGTGGAAACCACTGCGGCAGGAATGGGAACTGTGGCGAAAGCACTGAACCAACACTGAACACGATTAAGAACGTGACTTCCAGTGCGTCTGCCATGTGAGCGTCAGCAGGCTCGGCCCACGTGCATCACAACTTTAAAGAAGAGGGTCCACATCCCAGGTCCCAGATCAGAAGCTGATTTTCCCAAGAGACACGGAGAGATGAGCGCACTACCACATTAAATCAATCTCTCCCCTCCACCCCATTCTCTGTGTGTGTGCATGCTGCATGCGGCCCGCCCAGGGACGGTAGGGCTTCTGCAGGTTAGCAGCTGGGGCCACGTGCTGGAATACGTAGTGTTCTTCCTTGTGACAGCCCACTGAGCGCGTCTTCCACGCTAGTTGTTTCTCCTGATCCTTCCTTCCCTCAGGATGGCTTACAGCAGTTAAGCCACGGGGCCTGTTCAGGGGGTTTCTGCGTGGGAAAGTTGTCCTAGCTCGGCCTTTTTTCCTGCATCCAGACTGAGTCTCCGGCTTGACATGTGTGCGCAGCGACTCCAGAAGGGAAGGGGCGACCCCGCGCCCGGCTCAGTCCTCACAGAGTCCGTGGGAGGCAGGCTCCCTCCCCAGTCTGCTCGGGCAGTGGCCTCTCCACTGAGAACCAACGGCACAGACCCTGAAGCTTTTCGGCAAAAATCCAACCAAGAAATCATTGCAAGCTCGCCATTAGGGAGAATACCGAGAATACTAGGAAGTCACACGGAGGGCTACGCTGATGAATCTACACAGGGAAGCTATACGGCGAGCTTCGAGGAGTTCATGGAGAATGGAAATAAAAGATAAGTTTATATTAGTGCAAAGAAACCACACTGAAGTCCCTGCACACTTTTTGCATAACACGCATTTTCCGTGGACTTTTTGAAAATCACTTGCATTATAAGACTGTAGACATGTCAAAAAGTAACCAAATACATGAATTGTCGGGCTTCTATATTTTTATAATTACATATTAGTAGTAAGCCAGGGAAACTGGATCGTATTTTATGCTTTTGTACTTGGCAAATGTAAAGACAGACTCACTTAAAGAGTCTTAAAAGTCTGCATGTGCACAGAACATTCTGGAATGGTACACAAGAAACTCCGTATCTCTTGACTGATGGTCTGAGATAAAAGTAGATGACTTTCCACTGTATCCCTTTCACATAACTCTAATTTTCTACTATGCTAATGTACAGCTATTTTTACTTAAAAGTGAACAGCTGAGTAAAAATCAAATTAATGTACACAGAGAATTGTGCTGCCAAGGTATGTGAGGGGCTCCACTCAGCAGAAAACGTTGAAATGGGTGCAAAATTCCTTACCTCTCCATCTGGTCCCAGCGCGGACTCGCCTCCCTCTGCATTCTCCTCGGCCTTCTGCAAAGCAACAATGCCACACGTTACGTGTAAGCCAAGAACACAGGTACGTGACTTCATGGCAACCCTCTGGTATGTGACAGTATTTTATGATGAACCATCATCGTAACACAGCAAAGCTTACGCGTTACTGCCTGTTATTTTTATTTCTCTTCACTGAGACAAAGCGTGTATTTTATTAGCAAGTTGCAGAGAGACATTTAAAGCCAGATGTGCGCCAAGGCCAGCACACCAGAGATTTGTGGATTGTGTCTTCAGGGACCCAAAGAGCTTAAGAAACGGCAGCATCAAGATAACAGTCAGAATCTGAAATGTTCTTCTAGTGTTTGGCACAGTGAAGACAAATCCTGACATAATTAGCTCAACTTTCCTATTCCCTAAGCAAGTTTTCATCAGCAGTGAAGAACAGCATTCTGAAAACGCCTATCAAAAATAAGCTCTGAATCACTCCTGGGTCATAAAAATAAAAAAAAATACAAATTTCTATGCGTTCCCTGGGTGTTTTTCATTCTACCTAATTGGTGTTCATAATATACTCTGTGTGTGAGGAGGAAATTTGGTGCACACACTGTGATCGCATGAAAAATTCTGTCATCTACCATTTCTTAAATATTCCAGTACCTTAGTCCATTAACCTCTAGGAGTGTCAAAGACAGCCTAAATGAAAAGCTAACACTATGTCATATTTTGTACATACTCCAGAGAGTCTCATCTACAATATGTACCAAAGAGTCAGAAATATCTTCCATCTATAATTACCTCTCTGACAAGTGAAATCTTTAATACCGCCTTTATGGAACCCTTGTTTTAGAGTTATTGCTAGAAAGGGTACACTACTTCTGCATAGTACGATGAGAAAAAATAAACTTGAGTCCTTTCCTTTGTCAAGATACTTAAGAAAATGAGCTTTCTTCCTGGGGGCTTTTAATCTAAAATATATAAAATCATATGGAAACAATAATAGTTGAACTCTGTCTACTTAAACACACTTTTCCTTTCCATGAAAAGAACTCAATAATCTCTAGAATAAACAACTCTCATGAAAATGTTTAATATTTAAGTTCCAGCCTTTTATCCACGCTGAAGAAATGTAGTTCCACAAAGGCTTGAAATTTTTGGAGTTTTTATATAATTTTCTTACCAAATATACATGTACAGTATGTACATAGGTCAAAGTATAAGGCATAAAAATGTAGCTCCTACTAAACTGTAGGAAATGAAATACTCACTTTGTTATTTTTTTCTTTAAAGATTTACTTATTTATTTGGAAGGCAAAGTTACAGAGAGAGAGAGAGAAGGAGAACCAAAGCGAGAGATCTTCCATCAGCTGGTTCACTTCCCACATGGCCACAACGGCCGGGGATGTGCCAGGCTGAAGCCAGGAGCCAGGAGATTCTTCCAGGTCTTCTAGATGGGTCCATGGACCCAGGAACTTGAGTCATCTTCCACTGCTTTCCCGGGCACATTAGCAGGGAGGAGCTGGATTGGAAGCACAGTAGCCAGAACTTGAACCAGTGTCCATATGGGATGCCAGCACTGCAGGCCAAGGCTTAACCCACTAAGCCACAGCACCTACTCCCTTTGTTATAATTTCCCGAGAATTTAATTTTCTCTTGGTGTCACCCTTACAAGAAAATATTTACAAGCTTAAAAGGAATGACTTGTTTTGAAGAGCACTAGGCTGTATATCTAGGCTAAAGACACAGAGACCAATGGCAGCAATTCTCTGTTCAGGAAAGAAACAAGCCCTGCTCCCACCTACTGAGGATTCCATTTTTGGAATTCTCAGGCACTAAATTCAGGGAACTGTTTTAATGGATGTAAAAAGTCACTTAATGCTCCCATTCTTATCATACAAACCAGAAATAAGCTACAAACTCAGCCAACAAGGAAAATGAAATGAGACAATGAAAAAGCCAATTGCAAATGTCTAGCAAGAGGAACGGTATCACCATTTCAATGAATAGCACATTAAGAAAAAGCAGCATAAATGAACACAATCAAAACTTTCGTAAAGGACACTCTCCTACGAACAAACAGCAGACTACCTTGAGGGTCATCGAAAAGCTGCTAAGTACCAAGGTCGCTCCTTTACTTAAAATCCCCTTAAACTATTTATTTCATTCCAATAGGTAACATGTTCAGGAGGTAAACTAACACTGGATTAAAGACAGTCAGTTCTGGAATTAGAAAACTTGAGTTTGAAACCCAGCTCTGTGACCCAATTCCAGAAACTTCAGCTGTGTGATCTTGAGCAAATCTCTTGGTGTCTTGGTTCCCTCTTGTGTAACACAGGGCTAGCAGTAGCAGCACCCACTTCAGAGGGATGCTGCAGGATGGGTTATTATGGCAGTGAGTACAATTCAACATGGTCCACAAGTATTTCAAAGAGTTGGTGGATACAGGATGGGCAGTTAGGGTAGCGGTTAAGATGCTGGTTAGGATGCACCTCCTATATCAGATTCCTTAGGTTCAATACCTGGCTCTAACTCTTGACCCTCATTTCCAGCTAATACAGACCCTGGGAGCAGTTGTGATGGCTCAAGTAGTCAGTTTCTTGCCACCCATGACAGAGCTCTGAATTGAGTTCCTGGCTCCCGGCATCAGGCCCAGCCTACGCCAGAATATGATGTACATCTGAGGAATGAAACAGTGGATGGGAGTGACTCTCTCTCTCTCTCTCTCTGGGTGTATGTAAGTGTGTCTGTCTCTCTGTCTCTCAAGTAAATAATAAAGATTATAAAGCCAAAAAGGTAAAAAAAAAATTCATGAATAAATAGAATTAAAAGATTGGTATATTCTGACACAAAAAAATTTGCAATCCACGCACAGTTTTTTCATAATGCACATCTGTTCATGAACTTTTTGAAATACCTTCAAATGTAATATATACTGTAAGGGTCAATCTCCACAATCTAAAAAGTCAATGACAACCCGAGGTCCAAGGTCTACCCTTTTATTAAAGAGACCAGCCACAGTGTTGTCTGAAAACTGCTTCATAAGGCTACAAGGTCAGGGATTTCTATTTGTTTTGTTTGCTGGTGCATTCCTATATCTACGGGGTGCACTTCAAAGGCACTAACTGCATTTCTGCTGAATGAAGGAATGAATGGGAGCAGCAAGAACAATGTCCTTCATTTAGCATACGCTGTCACAATCCTCAGTATTATGAGGTACTGACATATTTGTTGGTCATAAAACAATTAAGAAAACACACACACACACACACACACACACACAAAGCGTCACCGAGCCTGCTAGGCTGTTCCTAGAGCAAGAATCCAGGAGCCAGTGTTGTGATACAGCAGCCTGCAGCAGGTTAAGCCACTGCCTGGGACACTAACATCCCACATAGGACTGTTGGTTTGAGTCCTGGCTACTCCAGTTCCAATCCAGCTTCCTGCTAATGCACGTGGAAAAGCAGCAGATGATGGCCGAAGTGCTGGAGCCCCTGACACTCATGTGGGAAACCTGGATGGAGTTCTGGGCTCCTGGATTTGACCTGATCCAGCCCTGGCTGTTGCAGCCATTTGGAGAGTGAACCAGCAGATAGAAAATCTTTCTTTTCCTCTCTCTCTCTCCTCTCTCTTTCTCTCCTTTCTTTTCTCCCTGTCAATCTACCTTTCCAATTAAAAAAAAAAAAAAAAAAACAAGAAGTGGAAGTCAGGTGGCCATTTGTGCTGCAGCAAGAGCCGCCAATCTCCTAGCACACCATGGATTCCTGAAGTTTGGTGACAGCTTCTGGTTGGTGCGCCTTCATCAATCCATGTTCTCACATGAGGTGGACACTTCACCTCAAAGGAGAAAGCAAAGCAAAACATGTGCAAAAAAAACTCTTCCCTTCCTTTGGCTCAAAACTGTTTCCCAAGAGATTGGGGCTGCTGCTACCGTCTGGGCTAACTTCGGAAGCTCTCTGAGCCCCTGGCAGAACGTCCAGCCATGCGTGTGGCAGCTGCTGCAGTGTCGCCTGCCTCCTGAGCAATTCTCACGCAGTTATCTGCACCACGTGATTGCAAACACACACTAAACAATGCCAGCTGACACCGAAGCTATTTTATTTCTATTGATTAGGAAGACAAAACACTGCCATTCATTCATTCACTAGTTCCCATTGGAGAACTTCATGCTGCCTTTTTCCTACCTAAATATGTTTATGAAAGGAGGGAGGGAGGTAATTAAGCTAGTCACATAAAATAAGACACCAGTTACTCAGAACGAAAACCTAGTTGGAGTTCAAAGTTACTCAAGCTAGGGGCCGGTGCTGTGGCCTAGAGGGTGAAGACACTGCCTGCAGTGCTGGCACCCCATATTGGTGCCAGTTCAAGTCCCAGCTGCTCCACTTCCGATCCAGCTCTCTGCTGTGGCCTGGGAAAGCAGTAGACGATGGCCCAAGTCCTTGGGCCCCTGTACCCACATGGGTGACCCAAATGAAACTCCTGGCTCCTCACTTTTGCCTGGTCCAGCCCCAGCCATTGAGGCCATTTGGTGAGTGAACCAGTGGATGGAATACCTCTCTGTCTCTCCCTGTCTCTGTGTGTATAACTCTGACTTTCAAATAAATAAATCTTTAAAAAAAAAAAAGTTACTCAAACTAAAGACAATTTAGGGCCTCAGTTTCCAAGGCCAATGTCAATTTACATCATCATGAACTGAGAAAAGTTCACAAAGTTGTCTTCCCCTAGCAGAAGAAGATAGACAAACAATGAAAAACAGGGCTAAGGATGGAAAGAATCCCTAAATATTAAAATCTTGTATAAGCTGAACTCTGAAAATAGACTTCAATGAGGCATTTTAGATTATCACAACATAAGCTACAAGCAGCTTCATTCTGTAAGGAAACAGTTTTATGTCAAATATTTTACAATCTATATTATAAAGCAGATGCATCTGATGTCCCGACAGGCACTGATAAAATACAGTGAAACAGCGTTCAAATGTGCTGGCAACTTAAGGACATAATCTGCTTCACTGGAAATCTAAGCTTCCAGAACCCTCTTGG